TTACAATTATTTAAAGAATTTTCTTATCATAATTACGTAAATTAAAATTAACAATCAGAGTTTAACCAGCTAATTAACAAACAATACTCTGATATTTCTCACAATACCAACACATCACCTACGAGTATACTTAACGTTTACTTTTCAAAATACGTATACGCCCTGTGATATCGTTATGCCAATTACCCACTAAATGCTATTTTTGCACCGCACTCTTTAATAGCTCATCAATTAGCCGAGAGCTGTCAAAAAATAACTGGCATTCCTCGCATTGAGCTTGTCGTTAAGGGTAGCAATATATATACTCGAACATTTTTTTTATAAAATCCCATTTAATTACATGTAAGAGGAAATCGGTTTATGGCTGAAATCAGCTTACAGAAAAAACGCAAACAGAGAAAAACTTTTGTGTATCTTTTGGATACAGATACGTAAGCGACCCACACAAAGTCGGATTTTTCTCTGCGTAAGCAATTTTTGTTCTTGGTCTTTTTTTTTATGCAACCTCAAGGTCAACGGCAAGTAGCTCTTTATGTATGAATGGGATCTAATTGTTCGTGATGAGAACACACGGCTCGATGCGAGGATGACAAAGTGGGTTCCGAAATACAAGTATGTCATGTGGGTGGGTCCTCTGTAAGTACATTTGCGAATGCATGTAAGAAGATTTTCGGGTAAGAGCTAAGCTTCTTTATTATCGTGTTCGCATTTCAAATGCGCTTGACAATGACTTTTTTTTCCGTTTGGATTGGCAAATGTAGCTCAAAGTCAATAGCCATTTGACATCATTTGACCAAATGATTTCTTCATTATTTACACAAGTGCTTGGAGAGAATGCTAATGCTAATGTATGTTCTTCTTTTTTTAGCTCGTTTGGATCTCAATTGCATTGTTATCGTTATGCTGTACAGTAAAACATGGCAAAGTCGACACTTTATGCTGCTGGGGTGACCTGTCTCGGCTTTGTATGCTTCGCCTTGGCATCTGTGGCCATTGGCATACCCATCTGGGGGTACTACGATAGTCCATCGGGTGAGTGCCCACTGCATAATACCCTCGATTTGATCAATCTAATTTGATTTTCACTTAACAGGCGGCTATGACTTCGATCGAGGTTATTTCGGACCGTTTAAGGTCTGCAAGCAATTGACGTACAATCGCGAGAAATGCGGCAACGATGTATCCAAGTTTAGGTTAAGCAGTAAGTATTTTAAATTATTACAACTGTTTAATTAAGAGTAAGCACTTAATTATTCTGCTGCGTAAACCAACGTATTTTTTTAAAGACTGTAATATATATTTATTATGAATATTTATTGTGGATTGGATATATTGACTATTTAATTTTGAATGTTGTTCCGATTGTGTTATAGTTAACCAAATGAAAAAGTAGCCCAAATAACTAAAGTGCCTAATTATTGTACAAAGGGACAACAACTAGAAAACTTCAAATTTATTCTTACGATAAACTGGAATTAAATAATTGCCCCAAATAAAAACATGTTTAAAGTAAGTTTAAGTAGTAAAGCAATTATTAAAGGGTAATCAATTGTTTGTTTGTAATAAATAGTTTGTTTATTCAAGCAGTTTATTTTTTTATTCATATTATTATTTATTTTTATTTTATGTTCTGGATCTTTAGTACTATTATATTTTTGAAGTAAATATTAATTTCCGCTCTTTCCATTTCAGATGCAGTTTTCGTCAGTGGACTCTTGGCCATTGGCAGCTCAGCTGTGCTGGGCATATTCTGCATTCTGTCGGTCATTCAACACGCGATGATCTCATCCAGGGAGAAGGTGGTAATGCCCTATACAACTCTAGTGATAGTGAAGTTAATGTTGGCGCTGCTTGGAGGTGAGTTCTAATGAGTTCAGCAAGGAGCGATAAAGAAACGTATTTAATTGCAATTTTTCCAGGTGTACTGGCCATCATAGCGACGATTTTGTTTGCTCTGCAAATTGATGAGCAGGAGCGCTATGGCTTCAAGATATCGCGGGGCATTTCCTTCTATATACAGGTGATTAATGGTTAATTACTCATGCAGTTGCGTGAGCAGCAATCAGGCGAAATTACAGATGTACTCTCTTATGGTATATAATTACAAATTCTTTCATCCAGGAGGCCTTCTTTTTTGCAATAAACTAACAATAATTAAAGCTAAAGCTTTTTATGTAGATTACACATAATTGTGCATATATTAACAAAATGCAAATATATAAAACTGGATTTATATATAATTATTTATTTATTTATTTATTTTTCATAAACATAATTTAATTATTTAAAAACTGATTAAAAATCAAAAAAATAAATATTGAAATTTGCAGTTAAGCTATTCAGTAAGCTTTTTATTCTTGGCAATCTTTTTTGTCACTTTTTAAAAACTGAGCCAAAATCAAAATATGCCATATATAATATTTTGGTATCTATTAAAATATGATACAAACAAAACTTATTGTTTAATAGCCTTTAAATGCTTTTAACAAACAATTAAAAACATTTTAAGTTAATTTGATGTAGTATGTGTCTTGTTCACTGATGTCTTTAGTTCGTTTTATGATTGCTAGCTGTATTTTAAGTTAGTCAATTCCTATACTAATTTTTTAAACTTTAATTTTACAGATCGTGGCGATTGTTTTGACCATCGCTCTGTTCGTTGCCGCCCTGTACGATGTGATCTATTCGCGCAGTCCAGGCGGAGATCCTACGATGGCGCTGGATGCCGCATCTCCGGGCAGTGCCACCACGTTCAACAATCCGGGCTTCAAGGAGCCGCGCAGTCGCAACGGCGTCTCGGTGACGGACGCCTCTGGAAAGCCGTACAGCGGTATCCGGAACGGAGCGGGAACGGCGGGCAGTGTGGCCTCCATGAGCACCACGGTGACCAGCGTCTCCAATGGCTCCACCCTCGACTCGGTGACGCGATCGCCACTGCGGTCGAGCCTGAAGAAGCCGAGACCACGGCCGGATCCAACGTTGGGTATTCAAAATCCCGGCTATTCCGGATCCGGAAGTTCGCCACCGATGCGACGCAATGGAAGTGTGAAGAAGGTCCGCATTCAGACGCACAGCACCGAGGTGTAAGATGGTTTCAACCACATAGACTTAAGTCCTTCAACAAGCAGCAAACGGAAAAAAACAAAAAAAAAATATATACAAAGACTGTGTACAGTAGCGAAAAAAAGACACAATGAAAAGTAAGGATGTGAAACTTTTTGAAGTGTCCATCATTAATTAATTGATAACTCCCAACTGCAAATTGAAAATTCATTTTCATTTGTCTTCCAAGAAAGATGCATATTATTCATTTGGCCCAGGCCAACATTTCTGTAAGCAACGGTTTCCGTCCACGGCAAGGCAAGAGTATTTAATTCGAATTGAATTCCCCAGAAGTATTTGATTTTCTATATACCTCCCCAAGTGCCCTTAAGACCCCGCCCAGTCCCCTGCACATTGGAAAGAATTATACACGGAAACGTGTAACACTGAAATACCAACCAATATATAATTAATTTGCAATATTCATATTTAACAGAAACAAACTAAACGTAAGCATTATAAAGCAACATTTGTAAAATACATAAAAATCAACACGACACAAATTGTTATTTATAATTAAGTTTAAGTCAAGGCGAAAATGAGCAAGTTTCAAATAGATTCAATAATTGTATGTTATTGTTAGCAGTACTTTAAATTGAAAGCGTTAATCAACCTAAACGGAAAATAATAATTGTTGCGCTAAGATTTCACTATTAAAGACACTTAGATTAATTGCTAAGCTTGTTTGATTAGTTTTTTTGTAATTAAATTGAAAAATGTGTTTCATGTTTTTCTCTGTAAGCTAAGAAAATACTAAATAAAAGCAACAAATTAATATTAGTTTAGAGTTTGTTTATTGGGGAACATTAGTGTTTTTTATTAACCTATATTTTTACAAGCAGTTCCTATACATTGGGGAAACCACATATGAGGTTATTTATTTATTGTATTTAGTCTATTCTTATTTCGGACTAATATATGCACTCTTGTACAACTATATTTATATTTTATAAATTAATTTATTGAAGTTTCATTTTGCATAAAACAGGATTCAATTAAAATAATAAAGGGATCTTAAGAATTTATTACACAAATTGGTCGATTCTCAGTAAATGTTGCTATCACTATGTAGTGGTTTATCAAAGAGTGTTAAGTGTTTTATGATTTTAATACTAATATTTCAGCAACAAAGTACAATTTTTGATTAGCTTTTTTGCACGTTTAAATTCTCTTCAATTTATTTCGGTGTAACCAGTCGAAAGTCTGAGACTACAGTAACGGTTCTCCGAAGTGGTTCGAAACTTGGATGTGTTAGCTGGTTCTCATAGTATTTTATTTAACATAGTATTTTTCTTGGGTGCAGAAAAGCAAGCAGTGTACAGTAAAGTCGTTTACAGTAAAGCGGCTTACTTTCAATAAATGTTAGCAGAAATGTAATGCTTAACAAATATGTATTTTAAACAACAATTTAAGCAAAAATATAAAGGAAGTAATACAAATATTTAAAAGAATACATTAATACCTTCTCATAAAATCGCAACTATAAGAACTACAAGAACTACAACTACTACAAGAACTTAAGGCAATATATAGATAGTGCCTTGTAAGAGTATTTTTAAGTCGGCTAAAAAAATAAAAAAAAAATTAATTAAAAAGATATTTTTCATGACGAACTTTTGTTCTTAATTTTTAAAAACATTTTAAGCCTATCTTCCAATCGTCTCAATGCTCATATAAAAAGCCGATGCAGAGACTCTTCCTTTGTTCTCAGAGACTTAATAAATTCATTATCAGTTTCCGATTCACAATCTGGGATCGATGCCACTGCGCTCAGCTTTGTTTACAAATAGATTTTGTTCATTCAGCAAAGTTGATAAGTAAGCGAATATCAGGTAGATAGTGCCCGAGTGTAAAGAGGCGGGAATAGCGTATTGCTCCCGAGTTTCTCAGACGATCGAACAGTTTGAGCTGAGACTGCTTGGAATGAGGACGTAGTCGCCATCGGGAGATAATAGAGAACTGCTGCATCTAGTATAGGAAGCCAGACAACAACAGTATTTGTTTATATTTCCACATAGCCCCACATATAAATAAATTATGAAATCAGAGACGTTGCACAAGTTTCTGGCTTTCTATCCGCTGCTGATTGCCTGCGCGTGGAGCCAGCCATGTAAGTTGAAATTCAATGCGGAATCTATAGGCTATTTTTAAATTGGATATACTTTTAAGATTTATTCAGTATTTTTTGATTTTAAAATTGAACTTTTTAACGATATTTACTTTAGTGAGAAAAGAGTTAATTAAAGATACTTTTTCATAAATAAATTGTGATTACAACAACAAATCATACATATCCTAAAGGCATTTTAATAATAAAAATGTTTAAATATATGCAAATTGACAATATATATTTTTTTGATATACCACGCCCACTTTTTTAGTGAACTCAACGCAACAACAACCAACTTATCAACAAGTGCAACCAGTTCAGCGACCATTTTTCTTAATTAAACATAATGTAAGGCCGGAAGATGCCAAGAACTACCACATTACAATTCCCAAGTCCCCCAAAGCGGGGGAGCCCTGTCTCACGATCACTTGGAAGACCAATCCGGATGGCAGTGGCCCTAGTCAACCGCAAATCTTCATGGGTAATGGCTACTTTGGAGTTATACCGCCAGTAGCACGCACACAACAAAGGCAATAAACCAAAAATTACTTTTTATTTATTCACGAAAAATTAAATGAGTGTTTTACTGATTTTTTAAAAGTATTTAGTATGGAAAACAGCTGAATTCTTGGTAATCTTCTTCCGTTTTAAGAACGGAATTAAAAGTGACTCCTACATTGAATATCGACCATAGCAACATAAAACAAGAGAGAACGCTATAGTCGGGTGCCCCGACTATCAGATACCCGTTACTCAGGTAAAGGGAGTGCGAGGGAGATGGAGATAGAAACTTTGATCACGCATAACTTTTTAACGAATGGTCCGATTTGAAAAATTTCTTCTACATTTCGATAGGTATTGATAAACACAATAAAACTGCATTTTTACTTTTCCGAAATATTTAAATTTTTAAAATCGTATATAAGCGATTGTGGGCGTTAAAGGGGGCGTGGCACCTTTTTGAAACAAACTTGAGCTGCGTAGGAACTCCTAAAATCTACATGCAAAATGCCAATCTTCTAGCTTTTATAGTTTCCGAGATCTCAGCGTTCATACGGACGGACAGACGGACAGACAGACGGACAGACAGACGGACAGACGGAGAGACGGACAGACGGACATGGCTAGATCGACTCGGCTAGTGATCCAAAATATATATACTTTATAGGGTCGGAAACGCTTCCTTCTAGCTGTTACATACTTTTGCACGAATACAATATACCCTTTTACTCTACGAGTAACGGGTATAAAAAAAGATACGGATTAAGATTTCCACACTTTCAATATTTTATTAGAAATTTATATATTTCAAATGCTTAAATTTTGCTCGAAGATGCTGGTACATTTTGAACATTTTGTAGATTACTAATCTAAGTTTTGTGGATTCCTTCTGATAGAAAAATATATCAGTCGAAATTACAAACACGAATCCTTTCTAAAATCTGGTTATTAAAAATTTCATTTGGAACTCATAAATTCAGTAATAAATTAAATAACATTTAAGCACTCCAATGTTTATAGCCTATAACTCCCACCACAACCCATTCTCTACTGATTTTTTTATTTGTCAAAATAATTGTACACTGACCCATTGCGCTTCGGGGGAGAAGTGGGATATTTTGCTCGTATTTTCAGTGCCGGGATTTGGCAACACCCAGTCTGGACTCTGGAATATCGGTTGGTTGTCATGGCAACTCTGCGGGTGGAGTTCGAAATGGAGTTTTTGGGTCTGGGTTGTCGGGTGTTGCCCAGACAGTAGAATCCCAAACTCCAGGCCAACTCCCCAAAACTGAACTGAACTCCCCTTGAAAATCCAATCCCATTCCCCCACTGTCTGTGTCTGCAACTGACAGAGATGGAGCAATCGGGATGGAGTGAGACAAACAGAAAGAGAGAGAGAGAGAGCCAGGATGACTCCAATTTTGCAGGGCTGCACTTTTCGGGATGACTGCAAAAAATTTCGCTTTTTTCCATGCCCTGACTTTCGCTGCAGTTTTCATTCCAGAGCGCAACTCAAAAAGCAACAACGAAACCAACAACATCACAGCCGAAAACAGAACCCGAAAAAAATGTGGCGTGGGAGTGTGTTAGTAAGGCTAATTGACTTGCCATTCCTCCTGGGTCCACGGGTGGTATGATGAATTTTCCGAAATATCCATTAATGATGTGTGCATCAATATGAATACCTCACATTATGCAATTATCTTTAAATTAACATACTTTGGCTAGTTTTCATCAGTTGTTTCTATATATAAATAGATTTATGGGTTAAAAACGCTTGATACAAACGTTTCAATAATATTAATATTTTTTATTAATATTCTACAATTCGTCATAAACATCTTACATTTGTTTAGGCATAATATTATTCTTCAATCTAGTCAGGTTTTAATAAAAATGCATTGGAACTATTTCGCAAAATTTTGAAATTTTTTTTCGATTAGAAATTACCTCTTTTCTGTTTGTTACTCCAGGGTAAATTAAAGAAATCAAATTCACGGTTATTTTTACATTATACCCCGAGAATCAAAACGATGGTAGAGTAGTTATCAATTATTTTCGCAACACATTATGGAAGTTAAATGTTTTTACACATTATTATGGTTACAATGGAAGATAAAATGCTTTAATTTCATATTTTGTTACTTGTTACTATTTCTTACTTTTGTTCCTAAATGGTTATTGGTTATCGATATCGATGTCTAACTGTCAAATATTATTATGAAAATTGTGTAAAAAAAAATGTCGTGCCTGTATACAAATTAAATTTCTTGTAGCTGCGGATATTTCTTTTGTAACAAGATTCACCGTCGTTATAGGTGTTTTTCAAATTGCCCATTAAGTCTTCTCAATGCAAATTACATCGTATCAGTGAAAATGTTAGTTCTTTTGGCTGCCTGTTTTTATTTAACTTTTGGATTCCTAATTGTGTATTTAATATGTCTTTGTGTTGTGATATTCTTGTCTGTTTTCTTTGGCTACAATCCGATCGACGACTAAGGCCCTTATTTTTTTTAGAAAACATTTTTAATTGTGGTAAGTAACATTTTGAATTATTCAATTATAACCAAAAATAATTAATGAAATGTTTTATAGCCCTGGATTTTTGGTATGTTCCAGATTTAAGGCGTCAGAAAAATCAAAAAGCAAGTCAAGTACATCTCCAGAAATACCATTAATTTCCATCATATTATTTTGCCATCAACAACCCCGAAAAGCTCTCAGACAGGCGGTAAGTTTCCCGGTAAACCCCCAAGAAAAGTTGTCAAAAACTTTTGTGCATTACCTTTGTCTACATTTTGGTCAGTTTGATGGGAATTTTGGGGGAGGGGGTGTATGGAAACGGTGGCTCAGACAACAGTCAATGGATTAAGTGTTTGTTGTGGGGTTGTTGCTAATATGAATATGTTTGTTGCTATTTTATTTACCGCTTCAATGCATTCCCTTTCTGTCTGTCTGGGAACTCGGCTGGATGTTGGCCAGGCTAGTTGTTTCGCCCCCTTTTAGCTGAATTTTTAATCAGCCTTTTTGGCCCGTGGCTTCCTCGATTTGATTGAATGGAATAAAATATTCGAGCTTCACTCTCGCTCCATTTTTTTCCGTCCTTCCTGTTTTCTGCTGTTCTAGAAATTTTAGAAAGTTCCATTGCGGCTGCAGCCACCCCTGGAGCGCCACCACCTCAGACCCTATTAGTAACCCACTTTGCCACCCCCTTTTGCACCCCTTTTGCCCACTATTGAACCCCCTTTGACCCCCCTCTGACCCCCTTTGAACCCCAATTCCCAAACATTCTGCACTGCGTCACGTTCGCCGCATGCTGTCTGCCATTTTGGCTTTTCCTGCAGGAAGCTTGCATATTTCACGTTCGCCATGTTGTTTTTTCCTCGGTGTGTGTGTGTGCCAGTGTGTGTGTATGCAGTGTGTGCCCCTGTGTGCAATGTCTGTGTGAGCCGGTGCCCCAACTCTTCACTTTTATCGATTGAATTGTGTCTCCGGCTGTGAAATGCAGGTCATTGATCTGTTCGTGCCAGCTAAAAACGACGAAATGCTTTTTCGGTTTTTTCGCTCTCTCTCTCTCTCTCTCTTTCTATCCTTTCCCGCCCTCTCTCTTGCTCCTTCGTGGGAGTTGGGGCAGGACAGCAGCTGTGGAGTGCAATTCATCGTCTGGCTTTTTTGGAGTTTTATGGGTAGTCAGCGTTTCACCAGGCTTCTGGGTTTCCAGTAAACAGCGCCATAAATCTGATTTCGTTTTGATAAACCAATTTTGTGTCAGCTAATTTAGCTGAATTTGTTTGTGGAACCAGTAGGGGCTAAGTTTGGACATGTTGAGGCTGGCTTAGTAACACTTTTCTCGAATTCCTGAAATCCGATATGATCGGTGGTGATTAAACAAGCAAAACATTTTTCTTAAAACATTAATATTCTGTCTTTTGAAAAATAATTCTATATACAAATTTTTGGTTTTATTCATTTATAAACTCTATTATTATTGAGGCACAAATAAATGAATTCATATTATATAGTTTCATATTTAGGAAAAGGAAAGAAAATTTAATAATTTTAATAAACTAAAAACGAGTCTAAGTACTATAAGTTATATATATAAACAAAACAAGAGAGAACGCTATAGTCGGGTGCCCCGACTATCAGATACCCGTTACTCAGGTAAAGGGAGTGCGAGGGAGATGGAGAAAGAAACTTTGATCACGCATAACTTTTTAACGAATGGTCCGATTTAAAAAATTTCTTCTACATTTCGATAGGTATTGATAAACACAATAAAACTGCATTTTTACTTTTCCGAAATATTTAAATTTTTAAAATCGTATATAAGCGATTGTGGGCGTTAAAGGAGGCGTGGCACCTTTTTGAAACAAACTTGCGCTGCGTAGGAACTCCTAGAATCTGCATGCAAAATGCCAATCTTCTAGCTTTTATAGTTTCCGAGAACTCAGCGTTCATACGGACAGACAGACGGACCGTCAGACGGACAGACAGACGGACAAGACAAACAGACGGACAGACGGACATGGCTATATCGACTCGGCTAGTGACCCTGATCAAGAATATATATACTTTATAGGGTCGGAAACGCTTCCTTCTAGCTGTTACATACTTTTGCACGAATACAATATACCCTTTTACTCTACGAGTAACGGGTATAATTAAAACTAAAAAAATTGTTTTAATACTAAAGTAAAAGTTTTTTATTTATTTGCCTTTCACTACAAATGTTTAGATTTCATCTAGTTTAGAGGACCTTTAAAGCTAAAAGCTAAAAGGTATACAGACATTAAAAAAATCAATTACTTAAAAACATATTTAGAAAAGTTTAAAGCTTAATTATACAAATTTCAAACCAAGTTTAACTTAAGTTTTATATTCCTTGTCGCAGCACAAAAGTAGGCAACAAATAATTAGTGTACAATAGAGGGCGCCCCAGACCATAGAAATTACTTAACTTGTATATGCAGATCACCCTCAAAAAGTTTCTTCATCATGGCAAGACCTTGCTGTATTCCGATTTCAAGCTGGAAAAACTGTACAAAGCAGCTCTTCCTTTTTTCCAACCAACACAGCTACTGTGAAAAATATTTCCTTTTAAAAGCTTTGGGGTAGTGGAGCAGCAGAAACCGGAGATATATATTCTAAGTAAGAGTTTGGGATGGAGTAGGAAGTCACAAACAGACTGTCCGGGGCAAACTGTACCGAAGTATCGAGAACGTAGATTCCAGACAGCAGTAGAAAGGGAAATCTACTGCGACTCTTGGCACCAGGATATGTATTTTCGGGCATTTGCAGTTTTCCGCCTCCGGTTTTGTTCGGGGGTTAAATAAAAAGTACTTGTCCGGTTGGTGGTTCAATGACCATCCAGCCGACCGGCGACGATGCTATCTGAACAAAGTATATTGCCATCGACCAACGACCAGCGACCAACGACCGCTCCTTCCCACATTTGCTAATGGGTCTTGCCTTTACCTATCGCTGGAAAAACAAAAATAAATAAGCATAATGTGCAGAACGAGTTGCAAGGTCGACGAACGTTGAGTGCGGTTTCCCAATCCCAGTTCTCAGTTCTTAGTTCCCAGTTCCTGGATTCCTAGGCCCAAGTCAGTCCAGTTGACTTAATGCCCAGTTCGGTGAGCCAAACACGTTTTTCGCTAGCGCATAATTTGTGGGTAAGTTTTCAATCAACAATCTTCAAGCCAAATGCTTCGGTTTCTTTTCCTTCTATTTTTGTTCCAACTTGGTTCAATAGTTCTGGAATGCAATGCCCACTTTCACATCAAACTAATTGGCTTAACCCTGGCATTGGGCATTGGATTCTCACTTCGGGCACTCCAGAATCTCACCCATTTTTTACGGTGGGGTAGTCTTGCAGTTTTATTAGGGACATGCATTCTCGACATGTGAAGGAATAGTCTTTTGGTGGAATTTCAAATACCCTGAGGGGATTTTAAAAACATCGACAATCAAAACTGTATCAACTTGAAAATAAAGTTTAGTTAAATAAAATCTTTAAGTTAATCCAATTTATGATTTTTAATAAATAGGTATTTTGTAAAGAGTTTAAAACCCTTTAATCCCACAAGTAGAATACATTTTACAAGCAATCAAAAATAAATTTATAAACTATTTTATTCTAATTCAGATTACAAATTTTTAAAATTATAATTTTCTTAAAAATATTGTAATAAATCGAAAAAACTGGAAAATTTAAAAATGTATTAATTATAGTAAACAAAAGCCCTAAATTACTCAAAATATTGAATTTTTTATAAATATTTAATTGTTTTAAAGTTTGAAAAATGTTATTTATGATCATTAAGAAAAACAGCTTTTCTAGTAATCCGAAAGGTAGATAAAAAAATATAAGAAGTGATCAAAAATAATATTATAAGAAATTTTGTATCCAAAATATTAGTATTTATAGGAAAAATAACTCTTAAATTAATATTAAACATTCAGGTATATATTATTTTCTTTAAAATGTTGGGAGGACTTAAATATTTACAACAGAAATTAATGGTAATTTTAAAGTTTTATTATAAACTCCCTTTTGCTCAGTTATTGCCATTCAAAATTCACTTTCCCGGTCTCAAATCTCACCTGTATCTTAACCTAAGATAGTGCATCTCGGAAACTTCGCGGTCATTGGAAATGCACGGCACCAGTAGAGTTTAGCCACCCAAAGAACGTTGAGCGCAGGCGTCGTTAGTGGAGAAAGGGCTAGATTTGGATACGGGGAAATCGCTCTCTCTCTATCTCTCTCTCGAAAGAGAGAGGGAGATGTACCGTAGAGTTCTCTCTGGCTGGGAAGACTTCTCCTCTTGGACACCCATCCACATCCATGGGCCTAGCACTCGGGCTAATGGCCTCCGCAGTCGCTAGCCGATGTTATAATCGCTGGAATCGTGGCTGCAGCTTTTGTTTGCATTCCATAGCGTCGAGGTGGTTTCTCCGCTCCTCTGCTCCTCCGCTCCTCCTTTTCTCCGATTCTCCAGTTCTCCAGCTCCCCGGTTCTCCGGTTCGTGCACCTTCCCCGCCCACACTCTCACCCAGTTTCAGGTCTCGGGTCTGCTGGCATTGACACTGACACTGCGCCACGATGGCATTGGCCATGGCATTCCCGGTGCTTCTTGCAGCGGCTTCCTGCACCGCCACCTTGGAACCCCCTCCCCCCCAGAACCCACTCCCTATTCACCTCCCCCTGGTCCAAACTGGTCTGGCATTCATCAACCTTGGTTTCAGGGGGAGTGGGAGTGGAGGGAGGTACCTGGCACTGGGTGTACAAAGTACAGGGGAGATTAGCAAGTGGCAATGACTGGAGAAACTCGTATTAAATTATTTATATATTTAAAAAAGGAATATTAAAACTCTGAAATCGTTACCTTTAGAAGCATTTAAAATGGTTTATACTTAGCCATTTTTTTTTGCAGAATTCGAATTTATTATAAATAGTTTTAATAAGCATCAATAGAAAGAGAAAATATTAGATTCTTGCGAAACTAGTTCATTTTATTTAATATCTCGATTAGTCGGAAAAGTCTTTTATATTACAACAGTTAAACTTTGTTTTATAATGATTTAGATAGTTAAATAAAGCACTACATAAGCTAAACTAAAGCTAAGAAAAAAGATATATAAACATAAAGGTAAATAGGTTACTAAGCAGTATCATTTTAAATAAGCTCATTGGGTTTTGAAAAGAAAAATATTCGAAACAACTTAAATAATTCCGTGTTAAAATAAGGAAATACAAGTTTTATAGAAATATGACACAAAATGAATGATTGAAAAGAGAAGAGAAAAGATTTTAATTAATAATGAATGGAAGTATTTTTATTATTTACTTAGGCAATGCTTTCATTCCTTTCTTTCCACTAAGTCAGCATTTATGGTCTGAATTACTAATAATTGTAAGGCATTCAAAACTAAATGATATTTAACTATAACGTATATATGTATATATCCACGAAATTAAAAAAAATTGTAAGATGTCTTGGTAATGTTTTTACTGTAGGCCAACACAAAAAACCTTTTGTGATTTGCGTTATGCATTGACAGGCTTCTATTGTGCGGCGAAGACCCATCGGTAACCTTTCTGTTTGCAGACCCCTCGCATCAGAAGCCCCAGGACTCCGAGTCCGTGATGATGACGCTGCACTGGCTGAGCTTGAACTGGATTTTTAATTGGCCTAGTCCATTGAGTGCTCCATTTGCTGGCACCCCACTTGTGCACCCATCTGATATCTGTAGGCCGAGGTGCGAGTGGGGCGACATGGAGGACAGATGGCCAACGATAATGGACAGCTGAGATTTGCACTCGGATAGCAGTAACTGTGGAAACAAGTTTGAATTGCAAATGAGTGAATTGCAGATGAACTGGGAATTTTCCAATTGCTATTTGAAGAACTAAATGGACTTTACGCAGTGTGAAGGTCTTCACGAGGAAACCTTGATTGTTTAATATTGGTGAAAGACTTCTCTCTGAAGATTCTCGGATGATTAATTGGGAAATGTTTCAGAAGTGGAAAATTAAACTTGAAAACAAAATAAAACTAAAAGGAATTTTACCAAATATGAATACAATTTGTATAAAACTTTTTAATAATATAAAATAAATATATAAAATAAACACTATGATGAGACATAATGAAAACATAAATATATTTATAATTTGTATTTAAATTTTTTTAATTTCCGTACTCAATATTACCTTACCTACAAATTACAGTTTAAAAGTATGTTTTTGATTTGATTATCGTCCTACGTCCAATGAGCTTTTTTTATTCGCAATTTTCACCCCACTTTCCCATTGTCCTTAATTTGTCTTCGGGTATTCCCATCCAGTTTTTCACTTCAGCACTTTTCACCCATGTGACAGTTTAACTAACCGATGAGTAAACTAAAAAAAGAGTAAATTAAAATAAACAGGGACACCACAATTAAAATGAAAATCAACGAAAAGCGAAAACTTTTTGTATTACATACTCTTTGTGCTTTCATATGTGTGTGGAGATATATACGAGCAGCACACTCGGACATATTTTAATCCTCGCAGACAGAACAATAACAGACTAACCTATTGTAAAGTGGGGGAAATATAAAGCTCAACGGCAAATATGTATGTTTACATAAAGATATATATATACATCCCTTTTGGTCATGTGTCTGTGTGTTTATGCATTTGTATGCACTTGCGACAAATTTTCCAAAATGGCGTCGACAATGACTAACCGTACGACTTCAACTCCACCCCTTTCCCCAATTTTCCGCCCCTACCATCCAGAAAGAAAAGTTGGGGAGGTTCCTTTTGTCTGCTCGTGGAACTCCAGAACTCCAGGTCAATGATACCAAAAGTTAAACACCCAGCCAACCCACAAACTCCCTGCCCCCACCTCCCCCTCGCCACCCCCCATGTCTGCGTCGCACTTGAGCAATTTTCACAAAAAAAAATAAAAATACAAAAATACAGAAAAAAAATAATAGAGGAAAGACTCGACTAAAAGGAGAGTATGAAAACAAAAAGCGACGGGCCGCACCCTGGGGCCAAAAGAGTGGGGAAAATGGAGAGGGCGGGTGGAGTGCATACAACGTCAGTGTCAAGTTTACGCTAGGTCCACCACCTTCAGCCCCCAGTCCCCAAATCACCCACCACCCCCTTCGCCGACTTGCCTTTTTCCACACACAACTCCATTTTCAATGGCAGCACAAAAGCACTTTTATCTTTTGTACGTTTAATTTGTGCAGTGAAAAGCGATCGGGAAAGGCACCAAGCGGCGGGGTCAGGGGGTCAAAGTGCACGGGAAAACATTTCAATTCAAAGTAAAAAGATTTTTTTTGGTTATTAGACAGGAAAATTTTTAAAAGCAAATTTAGTCCTTAAATATATATACTTTCGATTAAAATATTTAATCATCGTTAAATATAATTAAAATCTCAAAATCTTTTTAAATTTAATTTCAAAACATTTTTTAAATCGACTTATTTCGGTATGAAAATAATTTTTAGTAATGGTTGCCAAAAGTTGTCAGATGGACAAGAAAATAGAAGATCTAGTCTATGGCGAATCCATAATTTGGTTTTGGGGAGGTTTTTAGAACAAATTTTTTGTAGCATACTTTTTGAGTATCAATATCTAATACCTTACGTGGATCAGGGCATGCTTCTCAAATCATATTTTTAAGATTTATATTTAATTTAGAATTAATTGTTAAGAAATATCAATATATTATTAAATTGCTAATATATGGACCGAAATTAAAGATAAAATTGACCATGTATCAAAAACAGCTTTTACTTTTATTTTCTATTGAAAAATCTCAAATTTTAACATAATGTTACGTGTTTTTTTTTAAGTGTTTTAAAGAGGGAGAAAAGCGAATGCGGCACCTAGCGGTCAAAACACCGAGCCACCCACCTCCCTCTTTTTCGCCCATCAAAACAATCCACAACCATCTGCACTCATGCATCATTCATTTTGCCTTCCTCTCTATCGCTCTCTTTATCTGCAGCTGAGTGTGCATATATATATATATATATATATGTGTTGGAGCTGCAGCAACAACAACAACGACGACAACTTGAACAACGCGGTGAAGGTCATTGCTACCAAAATTGTGTCTCCCTTTTGTCCTACTCTACTCTCGACGCGATTCGCTTCGTCTCACACACACACACAGAGATACCCACTCACACAGAGACACACTCACACACACACACTCACAGACAGGAAAAGCCATGTATCTGTGTGAGCTATCCATCCATCCTAGTGGTATACTCCACATCCCGAAACATAACTTGAACGGGGAGTTGGAAGCTTGGTTCTGGAATGGGCGATGAAAATGGAGACAGCGATGGAAAGAGACGGCAATGGGAGAAAGAAAGAGACAGAAAGAGAGCGAGCTGGAGAACTGCAGTCCTCGTTTGGGGAGTTTTTCTTTTTCGCTTGGCATTTTGGTTTTCTACGTGCACGTTTTTCGCCAGTCTTCCCCTTTCGTCAATTTTTTATAAGGCGTGGGTTAAATGGGTAAAGCAGTTGCCAGATGGTAAAGATCTCAAAGAAAGCTATGTCTAATATTAAAAAATAAAAAATAAATCAAAAGATGTTGGCTTGCCAGTTTTAAAGTTAAAACAAATTTTAATTGAAACTATATGTACTAACTAAAACTCCGTTTCACAAAGATGTACAATTTATTTTTATATTATTATTGTTAATTTTATTAGCTACTATTGTTAATAATAATAATAATAAAGTGTTTATAACGATTTTTATGATTATGCTTGTTTAATAACTTATGCATTCATTTTTGTATTAGCTTAAATGGATAATTTAAATAAAAATTTGAATAACGAAAAAAAATTTTTAAATATTTGTATTTACTATACAAATTTGATCTTAAATTTGTTAAATAAATGTTTTTAAAATTAGTTAATTAGTTAGAATAGAAAATAGAATTTTAATCATCTGGCAACTGTAACGCCACTTGGCTTGCGATTACAAAATCCCAACAGCACCTCCAACTCCGCAATTGAAAACTTGTTCGTTGCCCTCTCTCCTCTCCCTCTCACACCACCACCCGTCTCGCTCTGTCCGCAAACTGTGTCTGTGTCACTCAACCCACTAAACTAGCGCACAATGCGAATTGCGAAATGCGACGATGACGACGATGCCAGGCAACGAACGATGTTGTTGAGTTCCCCCAGTTCTTCGTATACTCTTTCGGGTGGTGTTATGTTTTATAAAGTTATTACTGTACGCAAGATAATATTATATGAATGTCAACTTAATTCAAGGAGCGGACTTCAGTGACAGATTGTTTCACTAATCAGTCTTTACAATCGACTAGGCTACCAGCACTGTGCAACTTAGAACCCGTTGGGAATTAAAGCGTCGAAGAATCGAGAAACTTGGAAAAATATTAATTTTTTTAAGCTATTTATTAATTAGTACTTATTAATTTTATTTTACTTTAAAGATTCTTTACAACCATCGTTTATTATCGAAGAATTATATACAAATAATTTGTATCACAATGTCATTGCTTGAAACAAATTTTGTGATCGTAGTTCACTACGTATAATATCTCTCAACATTTCATTTATACCTCCCATAACAAATTATAACTCCAATCCAAAATATACATATAGGCGAGCGTTTTACAGATTTTTCGCAATGTGTCAGGGGTGTAATGAACTGTCAACCGAATGCTGCGTGAGGTTCTATTCGATATGGTGCATGGTTCTTGGTTCCTTGGGCATTATTCACTCTTTATTGTTATTTATCAGCGTTGCAAGTGATGATAAGGCCAAAAATAAAATTTTCCTTTATATATTCTTAACATGGTATTTGATTTTCAGCATAATGTATATTTGTGCTGGCGTTCTCCTGATGCAGGCAGTAAAAAGGGTAAGAAATTGTGACAAATTGAAATTAAAAACGTTTAACTAATACTGATCTCAATGCAGGGTTCAAAAAAGCTCTTTAAATGTGGAAAAATTTTAACCTACTTCTTTCCAGTTGTGACCGTGACATTTATATTTCCACCAAGTAAGCTTATAAATATTTATTTTTGTTCTCATAAAATATAAGTTGGCTAAAGTTCCTTTACAAGAAAAGGATAAAAATATGCTGTTTGGAAGAAACTTTTTGTTCAAGTTGTAATATTAAAAACTTATATTTTATTATTCACAAACGAGAACTCGATTGAACCTTTGTTTATTTTTCTCATGCTCCTGTCTTCTTGATCTAGTTGTTCATTGTGTGTTTGCTATAAAATTGTGCAGATATATGAGAGAAACTTGGCCTAACTAAGCAAATGCCAGCCTGCAAGTTATTTGGACTTAAATTTAAATCTAAAGATGTAGTAAGCAATTTTGGGGATCATATGAAATACTGAATGTGATATGAAAATTTTTTACCATGTGAACTGTTAAATAAAATATATTTTAATAATACTTAAATTCGTACTGCATATTGTTTTTAGTGGGGACTTGTTGTGAATGGGTTTCAGAAATGTTTTGTAGCACACGTTTTTATTACTACACATAACTACATTTACATTAGAAAAACCTCCAATACCCTTACTATATAGGGTTGGATATGTCTTCTTCCACCTGCTACATATTCTGCATCGTGTTTTAAGGGTATTCTTGAAGTCGGTCTTTTAAGCTTTCGTTCTGGCCCTCTCTTTCGCCCCCCAAGGCAGACATTGCCCTGCTTATTTCTCTCTCTCTCTCTTCCTTTCCCCCTCTTTGTCATCTTCTACTGTGCATGTTGCTCCATTCACGTGCTGCGCGCTTTTCGCGTGCAAGTTGCCCAGCCCCTGCGATCCCCCCATCCTCATTCCTACGCCTCCTCTCTCTGGCTCTCACCAGTTCTCTTTTGGCTCTCAACGGAAGTTGGCGTGCGCCAGTGTGTGTGAGTGCTGGGTTCAATGTCTGGTGGTTGACCTACCCATACCACTATTTTTTCCCAGGAGTCTCGGTGCTCAGCTCCTGCTGCACTCTGCTCCTTCCTTCTCGCTCCTTCTCTTCTCGCTTGTTGACTCATTGCAACTGCTTGTTCAGCAACTGCTTGGGTATTAGAAAGTGCCGCACCCAGAAATAAAATAAAATAGAATAAAAAATAAAGAGAGGGAATGAAACTCAAACTCCCACCTCGTCTGTGTGACAAGTGAAAACTAGAAAATTCTGCTGCTCACTGCTCACTAAAGTAAAAGTTGTCTTATCAATGCGCCGGAGCTTTTGCACGGTGGGTGGCGGTTCGTTGCCGACAGCTCATTTGGCGTCATTGCGCCGAGACAAGGACCTCATAAAGATGCGAACTAGATATTGCATAGCTTAATAGATATTTCGAAACTCGTCTGGCATCAATCGCTTTGGACTTGACCAAGGGCATGGTTATTATCGTCAACGGGAGGAGGATGTTGAAGCATTATCAAAAAAAATCTTGCAAGAAATTTAAAATTTGGGAAGAAATCCTGCAAACCTTTTTGGTTCTGATTAGCCCAGCTTTTTTTGAAAATACCTATTAATAGATTTAATAATGGTTAACGATTTTATAAGTTATTTGAAATGTAAATGTAAAAAATGATGGAATTGAAAACGATTGCTAATCCTGTCTTCGAAAGATTCCGGTGATCGAAGAATAAAAACTAATTAAAGACTTACTAAGCATATAAATGGTTACTAATGACCTAACTAACAGCCCGGATTTCAATTAATTTTACTGCTTTTACTAGCATAGCGTTTTGAAAAAAGATACAAATTAATTGCACAGAAAGGTTATTTAAAATATTCTGTTAGTATGTATTCCGAAATCTATCTTAAAGATTTAAATATATTATTTATTAACGATGTATTTTCAAAAGTAAATAACCTCTTACTGTTTATTTTATTAAAACTTCTGATAAGTATGTCTGGAAAAAAAGGAAAAAGTTTAAAAATTGAAAGGTAAAAGATGGAAGGGTTTTCTTTGAAGCCAAATCATATTTTTTTAAAATTGTTTTTATGGTATTTTTGACAGTTTTGATTAAGCTCATTCACCAATAACCAAGAAATCGTCTTCTGGTTGTTATTTAAATCATTATTCAATGCTAGGAGGGATCACGATTGAGCAGGACAGAATAAATTTGCTGTATTTTATTTTCCCCTTAGCAAGTGGAAAACTTCTTGTTATTTTTCTGATGCCATCAACTGGTTTTCCACTTGCAGCAGATTCAAGGCTAAGCCTGTTGGGTCATTGCCATTGCAAGTTTTTCCCAGTGCTGGAAAAACTAGTTGCACTCACCTGGGCGCGCAATATTTGCTTAGACAGAATACCCAAGAACCGGCTGGGCGAGTTTTCTTCATCCTGACTTCGTCACAGGGAAAGTTCTGGAGGGAGAGAGTATGCGCTAATACCGGAGAAATGGAGAAAGTTGCAAGTGGCAAAAGACACTTCAGCCAGCCTATTGTGCAACTTCCCGCACTTCCACTCCATTTCCACAGTGGAAACTAGGTGAGGTGAGTCACAGTTGCCAGTTGCAATATGCATGTATCAACCCCTTTTTATGCTTTTTGTAATTCCCCTGAAGGTGGGTGGTTTGCCCTCGAATGACAAATTATCCTTTGGCGAAACCAGTCAACAGGACTCGCTTTTGACAAACTAAACCGGGCAAATAAAAACGACTAAGAACAGGTGTTACTTTCTCCTATAAAAACTTATTTCATAAAAGAAAATAAATACTCAATATTTTTATTCATTCTTAAAAAGGTTTTCTATTTTATCCGAATGTTATTCTAAAGAATTATTATATTGATTATACATTCAATTCAAGTGAGTAACTTACTAGTGATTTTTTTTATACATTGTTTTTGAAACTCAATTATAGACAAACGGGTAATTGTTATTTAACAAGTGATTTTATATGTCTATTTAATATTTCTTTCCAAATATTTTAACATTATAACACTGCATTGCGTCACCGGCTCATCTGGTCGTCTCTTATCACGCAACTGGCATCAAAAGTGTCAGCCATAGCCCTACACAGAAACAAATTGCGCCTTTTTTGTTAATATTAATTTTCAATTAAACGTATTTTTATTCCCGTTACTCGTAGAGTAAAAGGGTATATTGTATTCGTGCAAAAGTATGTAACAGCTAGAAGGAAGCGTTTCCGACCCTATAAAGTATATATATTCTTAATCAGGGTCACTAGCCGAGTCGATATAGCCATGTCCGTCTGTCCGTCTGTCCGTCTGTCTGTCCGTCTGCCTGTCTGTCTGTCTGTCCGTATGAACGCTGAGATCTCGGAAACTATAAAAGCTAGAAGATTGACATTTTGCATGCAGATTTTAGGAGTTCCTACGCAGCGCAAGTTTATTTCAAAAAGGTGCCACGCCCCCTTTAACGCCCACAATCGCTTATATACGATTTTAAAAATTTAAATATTTCGGAAAAGTAAAAATGCAGTTTTATTGTGTTTATCAATACCTTTCGAAATGTAGAAGAAATTTTTCAAATCGGACCATTCGTTAAAAAGTTATGCGTGATCAAGTTTCTATCTCCATCTCCTCGCCCCTTTACTTGAGTAACGGTATTGATAGTCGGGCCCCGACTATAGTTCTCTTGTTTGTTTTAAAATTTTAACTTTTTTCGTTTTGTTTAATACCATAATTTATATAGTCACCCCTTGTAGATAAATACTCATCTAAAATGTAACATGGAAATTGTCTAATTTTTTCTGTGCACCTTAACCCTTGTCTCCTCCCTTAACCCTGTTCAGTTTTCTGTTTACTGCAGCAACATTACAAATTAGCGAAAGTTTTGGTTGGAGAAGGAGGCCAACTGTCTGGGCCCAGACATCGTTTGTTGTTATAATGCACGGGGTTTGGGAGTTGAAAGTAGGGGTTGGGTTTTGTCACAAGGGGTTGTTGCATAACGACGGTATAATTACTGTAATCTATATCATATTGCAGAGTTTGCTTGATGTTTTGGCGAAGTTAGTGGCCATAAAACGCAGTCAACTTCCAGGGCAAACCGCAGTTGGATTGGCGTAAAGGAGGTGTTGGAAGGTGTTGGACTTTAAAATCTCTAGAGGTATCGAAAAAAAACAGTGTTTAAGACAATGTGTAAATAAGTACAAATTTGGTTTCTTTTACCATTATTACCATTGGCTTGCCCATTATTTGAAGCTTGAAACCTGCTCCTCTTTACCTATTTATGATTAAACAATTTTCCATAAATGAAGGTTATTCTTGTAAGAGATCAGTGAAATTTTCAATGCTTGTAAAGTTTTTTAAAAATTTATTGAAATAATAGAGTATTTAATAATTCATTTCCTTGTAAGGAATCGAAAGAAATAGTTTACCATTTATCAGAAACTTTGAAAATTAAAACTTTCAGTTTGCAACGCGCTCTCGAAGAAAAAGATCCACAATCTAAACATACCGGACTATACCCAATTTGCCATTCTTTGTGATCGATGTGATACTTAACCATCTTAGAAAGTTAAATAAAATAATTGAGTCTGGCTAATTTCATAAATTTATTTCATTCCATTATGACGATAAGGCTGATTTCTTTGCCAAATTTTAAATAAGTATTTAATTGTTTCCGGTCTCAGTCCTCGAACAACCGAACTAGGTGAGTCTTGAGAAATAATTTTTAGAGAAATTAATTTGTAATAATAATAATGAATAAGAATGCTACTAAAAATGTGCTTTTATTTTCTGAATTGCGATTTATTTTAATAATAATATTAATTTAAGAAGTAATAATAATTTTAAAGGTTGTGGTCAATCGAGTGTATCAAGAACAAGCATTGGTATTTGAAAACGACCAAATAAATACAAACTCGGCGGATGATCCCGATCAAGAATACATTTTTTTAGTCTTCCAGGGTCGGTTATAATGAACATAAACATATTTCTTGGAATATTCTATTTCTAAGGTGCGTTCATAAATTGCAAGCGGAGAGAAATTAAAAGCTCTTCCGATTTTCCTCTCTCAGAGTTCGCAAATGCATTCTGGTCCTCTCCACACAATGAGTTTTGCCGCAGCTCTCAGTTCGCATTTCGCTCTGGAGGGAAAAGCTCGTGATGGAAAACCGGCGGAGTATTACCGATTTGCCATTGGAAGTCCTCGATCTGATATTCAGTAATCTTAGTTATCTATCAGCCAAAGTGAGGTTCGCTCAGATTGATGAAAAGCTGGGAAAAGCTTTTGCCTTCCACAGCCGCAACGAGTTCCGTTTGCTCTCGCCAGATTCAAGGCTTACACCTGAATTGTGGGTGTTTGTTGTGAAGGAATGTGGTCCCACAATTGAGGAGCTTGTGTGCGATAGAAGGGGTTTAGCCTGGAACGATCTTATGGCCCAGGCTGTTGTGAACCACTGTCCCAATCTGAAATCGGTGTCAATTTGCCTATATAGGTCAGGTCGTGTCAGCGCCGAGGCTTTTCTTATTAAGATGAAAGACTCGCTGGTATCGGTTACAATTGACCAACGAGACCATTTTCCAGCTACGATCTTGAGCGCGGTGGCTGAAATGACGAAATTAAAGAATTTCTCATTTTTGGGATATGTGGACGAAAACGGTGAGTCTTTTCAAGCAAAAGGAAAAATGCAAAAAAAGGGTTACCTGTACGCAGGCGCACTATTTCGCCAAAAGGTCGAAACATTCAAGGGTCAATTGAAATATGTTTCTTTAATATCATTTTCAAACTCGAACTAAACTAATTTTATGAATTAATAATTAAATTAAATTTGGTCAGAAATTCATTAAAACAAGAAAGGAAAGCTAACTTCGGGCGGAGCCGAAGTTGATATACCCTTGCAGAATACTCTGTAAATTATATTCTCCAAAATTATTCATATGATGCATTCTTAATACTCATAAAAAATCCCAACTTCCTAACTTTACAAACACCAAAGTTATGGCATTTCCGATCAATCAGTTATATGGCAGCTATAGGATATAGTCGGCCGATCCCGGCCGTTCCGACATATATACTGCGTGCAAAGGAAAGAAGGCTGTGTGCAAAGTTTCAACTCGATAGCTTTAAAACTGAGAGACTACGTTTGCGTAGAAACAGACACACGGACAGACGGACATGGCTATATCAACTCAGGAGGTGATCCTGATCAAGAATATATATTCTTTATAGGGTCGGAGATGGCTCCTTCACTGCGTTGCACACTTTTGACCAAAATTATAATACCCTCTGCAAGGGTATAAAAATGCGAATAATAAATGAAATTTAACAATATTTTTTAAAGACTCTCATAAAATAAGCTTTTATTTGCCAAAACTGCAGTTGAATTATTTTGATTACAGAAATAATTTGGCCTCAAATAAAATGTGAAGCATCTTGCGAGCTGAGTGTCCAGTGTTCTATACTCAGGTCACTTTTAATAAGCGTTTAGTAAAAATGCTTATATACCATTAGCTTTGTATTTCTTACAGGTCCTTTGTTTAGTTTACTATTTACAGAAATTGATCACCCTGGAGAAACTAGCAATCGAACATATTAATTATCTAGACAAGCCGGCTATTAATTTACTACAGATTTGTGCTTCACAAAGGAACCTCCGCGAGTTGAGTGTGATCAAAATAAAAATAATGCCATTTGAGGAGCATGAATCTACAGTGTGGGCTGGTTTGGAATCGTTGACTTTGAATCAGTGCATAGTTTCTGTTGATCTGCCAGACTGTCCGAAGCTTAAGTATTTAGATATTCATTATGCCAGATGTCATTTGGAGGACTATATGCTGAAATTTATTCTGAAAAATGGAAAAAATATCCACACACTTTACGAAAGATGCCACCCTTCAATTGATGCCGACGGCTTTCTCCAACTTCTTCGGGGCTGCCCAAAATTGCGATTTCTTTACACGCCAATGGAGTATATAAAGCTTTATTTGGCCTACGTGAATGATATGATCAAAATACTAAGGCAAAACGGAGTCACTTCAGAGGACCCATTGGAACTGGTTGTATGTAGGCGTATTAAGTGGAAATGGATCCGAAGATTAGTAAGTTGCTTAAAACTGAATTTTTTCATATATTGCTTTATGTTTTCTTTGTAGCTTCTTCAAATCCCAAATTCTGACTTGATCGAGTTATATGAGGGTACTGGATAAAGAAATTATATATGACGTACATTGTTTTAAGATTTGTCTGTTGAAATAAATCTAGGACTATGCAATTAGAATTAAATATTTATTATATTTTGTACTAAAATATACCTATTAAAACGGTTTAGTTAACATAAGATGTAAAGTAAATAAAACTAAATTCTTCTCAGGACGCCCAGCAACAAAGAATTATTTTACAAAATGAAACTACTTATTATCACAAACGTATTACTTGGCGTGGGTAATGTAACTGAACTCTGGGCAGAGAGAAATCAAAAGCTTTTCTGATGTTCCCCTCTCAGAGTTCGCAAATACATTCTGCGTTCTCAGTTCGCATTTCTAACTTGAGGCAAAAGCTAGTCATGGAAAACCCGCGGAGTTTTACTGATTTTCCCTTGGAAGTCCTCGATCTGATATTCAGTACTTTATGAAAAGCTGGGAAAAGTTTTTGCCTACCACAGTCGCAATGAGTTCCGGAGGCTTTCGACATTCAAGGCTAACATCGGAGCTGTGGGTGTTTGTTGTAAAGGACCACAATTTAGGAAATATTTTATGATGGAATGAGTTCAGGCTTATTCTGGAACGACCTTAAAAATTCAGGCGATTTTGAAGGACTGTCTCAATCTGAAATCGGTATCAACTTGAGTATGTGAAAAAAGTAAGTGAAAAGATCCAAAATTATCAATCATTAAAAAATAATTATCAATCATCGGATATGTGGATGCAAACGGTAAGTAATTTAAAGCTAAATATTTTTTCTCCGGTCGGAATTATAAATTCTAGTTCGAATTTAAGCTTTAAGCATATTTTTATAGATTTTTTCATGTATTATATGTTAGGGTGGTACAAAAATAATCCCTTGCATAAAAATTGCTTATACTTCATGCAAGTAATTTTAAAACTTGACAAAAAAACATGGTGTTTGTTAAAAAAAATTAAGTTTATGTCGCCTGGATGAAAATAAATTATGTAATCAAAGGCAACAGTGCGTATGAGTGATCTGCTTTTTTTTCAAGACAAATTCCTTTTGGTATATATTAAAGTTTTTAATGAAAAAAGAACAAAAAATATGCACATTTCGACCCGATAATCAATTTAAAGGTCTTTCTTCACCGCAGTATACACTTAATCACGAATATACTCATTAAGTTCTTGAGTAAAGGGTATACAAAGCTTTCTCGCTGTTCTCCTCTACCCCCTGTCTTTTGTTTCTCCTCTTCGAATTTGCATCAGTTCTTAGTTTGCCCTTCGCTTCTGAGGGTATGGGTACCCGCGATGAGAAATCAACGGACAATAACCGATTTACCTCTCGAAGTCCTCGATCTAATATTCAAGAACTTGCGAAACCTGAGGGACAAACTTCGACTGGCACAAGTTCATGAACACCTGGGAAAAGGATTTGCCTACCACAGCCGCAATGATTACAAGAGGTTCTGCCCAAAAATATATTTTCCGGTGCGGCTATATCGCGTTCTTCTGGCGGAATGCGGCCCCTCAATTGTGGAGTTCACCTGTGGATCTGATACCTGGAGCGATCTGTTGGCCAAGTCAATTGCGAAGCACTGCCCCAACCTGGAATCGGTGAACATTAGTGTTTCATTGAGGAACAGTATGAGTGTGCAAACATTTCTGCTCAATATGGCAAATTCACTAATTTCGGTTGAAATAAAACTCAACGATAATTGCCAATCGCCGAGGATCCTTAATGCAGTGGCAGAACTAAAAAACTTGAGAAAACTGTTGTATGAAGGATACATGGACAGAGGAGGTGAGCAATTAACCTTATTTAATGACCAATATAATTATCTTTGTTGGTCGGCATTTGAATTTTTTTCAAGTTAAACCAATAACTAAATTACTACTTTTAAACAGTTGCTAAAAAATAATACAACAAATAATCACTTAATAAGGATTTGCTTGGAAAGGTGTAAAGTTAATTATTTGTTGGTCTAATGGGTTGATTTTCGCCACTGATAGTTAATGGGTTAAAAGAACATAGCAAAAAGTGTAATGTGATAAGCGGTTGTTTATGTTTCTCTTCGGCCGATATCAAACTGTAAATTTGATAATCACCTTTCGGTGCTCAAAACTAAATGTTTGTCATTTCTGTTTTGACTCCTTTTCTTCTTGTTTCATATTGTAATGAAAACTTCTTCAATTTTTTTTTTACTTTCATATAAGGTGATATGTAGCTTTGAGTTCAATTTTATTAATTCTAGATTTTGAAGACCAATAAAAAAAAATATTTAAAAATATACATTTATAGAAATCATTAAAAAAATGTATTTATTGACAAATTTTACCTTTAAATCGCCATAGAAAATAAAATATGCAAGCAATTTTTTTATTTTGAAAAATTATTATTATTTTAAGAAAATTAAATGTATTTTAATAAAAAACGAAGTGAATTCCTTGCCTTTTAGTTAACCAGCTACACAAACTAGTTGCTATGGAGGAGCTAAGACTCGACTATCAAGGAAGGGGATACAGATGTAGATCGGTTAACTTGCTCCAGATTTGTGGACCAATGACGAATCTCCGCTGTTTGACTGTGACCAATATATGTATATTTCCGGCAGAAGGGTTTCACTCCATGATATGGCCAAACTTGAAAGACTTAAAAATGCAGAATTGCGAAATCTCCTCAGTGATACCCGATTGTCCGAAGCTCAAAACCGTTTGTTTGAAATTTTGCAAGTGTAGAATCAGAGGCTATGTCTGTAGCTTTATTCTGAAGAACGGCAAGAATATCGAGGAAATCGATGAGAGCTGTGAGCCCGCACCATTCGATGGTCACAGTTTTCTTGAAGTGATTCGAAATTGTCGGAAATTGCAATTATTTTCCACTCCCATGGGTGGTATCAAAATATACCAAGCACTCGTTTCGTCTTTGGTGGATATTCTGAAGGAAAATGAAATGGCGCGAAAGGAACCCTTCGAACTAATATTGTACTGCCGAGACAAGCTAAGATGGATTCGCCGATTTGTGAGTGGAAATGTCTTATTTGCATTACATACGGCTTTCGTTTTTTTCATTTCTGCTTTTCAGCTACATCGGACTTCTTATCCTCAAGTGATCCATACGCTTTATCTGTATAAGTTCTGATAGTTTAAAAATTGTGTCTATAAGAATTTTATAAATCATTTTTGATCAATTAAAAACCTATTTTAGCTTCATGTTTAATGGTTTAAGGAAATAAAATGATAAATTTAATGTGAATGAAATTGTACAGTAAACTAATTAATATTATACCAAAACTAAATTGTAAATTAAAATTTAAGTTGATATTTACCTACTCTTTACAAATTTCTCAATTCGCATTTCGTTCTCGAGGGAAACGCTCTACAATTAAAAATTAGCCGTCAATAACCAATTCGATGTCCTCGATCTGATATTCAAGGAACTACAAGACAAATTGTAACTGGCCCAGGCTCGTAAAAAGTGTTCATATCCTTTTTTTTGGAATACGTCGACTATTAAGGAGTTTCCCAGCAATAAAGTATAGAACACAAAATGGAATGATCTATTGGCTAAGGTGACTAAGCGGCACTGTCCCAACTTGAACAAAATATTTTTTATGATTTTTTCAGCAAATATATATTTTAATGAACTTCCATTTTTAGGATGGGGAGAGTCTTGGAGATTAGGACACTTTATTTTTCCTTTTGAGTTATAATCACTTGTTACTCACTTTGAACTCGGCTTAAATTTAGTAACTTTAGGAACTCTAAAAGTTCAATACTGTGGTTTTTGGAAACAAAGTAGTGAAGCCAATTGGCATGTTTTGTCTGATAAATAGTTTTGGAATCCTGACCACAAAGAACATTGCAATGCTACACGCACAGGGGCAAATGGCTTAAAAATATGAGTAATGACCGAGCAAAACCAAATCACACACGAACTTTGAACTTGCGCCTGAACCTGCTTACCGTACCCAACAATTAGGATTTATTCCTTTATCCAACCAGGAGTGCGTGTCAGGTGCAATGGACACACGCCCCGTGGCGGTTCAATAACATTGACTTACTCATCAGGTGGTCGGGGATTAAGGGGCCTAATAGAGGGAGTTTATGGAGCAATGATTCACCTTTGTCGGCTGCAGGTCGGAATAACCAAACAGGATAAGCCGCAATGAGGAGGACTCAAACGCATAGAATATCATAAAAAAATTTTGTATGTTGGAACATGAGCAGTTAAAACAACAAGTTTTATAAGGAGCTAAAAACGAATTAAAATTATATATTGAAAACAAAATTGTACTAAAAAAACGTATGCGAAAGTAGTAAACAAATTATATTCCGGAATTTGTCTGTATAACATATACTTTAAATATAGTTTATTTATAGTTAAAAAATAAATAATATGACATCAAAGTAAAAGTGCTTGAAAATTTAATTTGACATAAACACTCAATATTTTTCCTGTAACCTAACTATCTGAATATATTGTTATAATATTTTTAAACTAAACTTATCTTAAATATTTCTTTAAGCACGCTGTTTATTGGCTTTTAATGATAAAATCGTTGATCTTCTTTTTTAAATGTTAAAACGCAATAGACTTTTTTCGAATGTAGAATGAAGTGGTGCCAACAGGATGAGCACTGAGGAGGAAAAGAGGACGAACTTTTGGCCAACTGGAATCGAGGGAGAACCCAAATAATGCGACTGAGTCATCGACCCGATGGCTGCTCCTCTGCCATAAATAAAACAAAATACGCACCCTCTGGAACGCCTTGTCTCCGGCTCTTCGGGTCCCGATGAATATTAGTCGCAGTGAACTCTCTGGAGGCGACTGACTTATAACACACTTTTGGCCACTTTACGCTTTGACTTGGCTTTCTGGCCGAAATCAGTTCACTGCACGCACATTGACCCAATAATTGACATGGGTCTGATATTGAAATTTCTTTAGTTAGGGGTTGGGCCTTGCAACTTTTCACTTGTCTAATTTGCCTAAGTCTGGAGCTCTGATGATTGGGACAGACAATTGGGTTTTGGTCTTCGAACTTATTCTATCTGATTTTTATAACAGTTTGACTTTTGTCGATAAAAGGATAAGGGGCTAAAAAGTTTTTTTTTTTTATTTTCCAAAAGGTTTCTGTGTGAAATATTTTAATGAGTAAAAGACTTTTTGGAGGCTTTCTCATAGCTTTTATTTTCCAGCTGTAATCTCGAAATTGTTAAAAAAAAGTAAGGAAGAATATGCTTTTCGATTATCTGCCACATATTATTGTTGGCAACATTTTAACTCTTGTACCGTGTTCACCAGTGTTTAAAAAATTAAAACCAAATTTAATATTGTAACTTGTTATTTTAAAAATGCATCAACCTTTCAAAATGACAAAGAAGACTATCAACTTAGTTCTGTTTCAAAATTGTCATATTTTTAACTGAATGCATTTAATGCATATGCCACATCTTAATCCATATCTGGACAAGGACTTTGTGTGTGCTGACCTTTTTAATGGCCATCGGGGCAATGTCGAATTTTTAGTGGTCGCGTGAGTGTGGGTGACACGTGTGTGCCATATATCCTTGCACTGCCACGGGTGAATTAAGTTAACAATTTGTCAAGGAAATGCAAAACAACTGCAATGGGTAGCCCTGAAATTAATCTACCTCCCCCTCGCACTACCTACATTCTTTTTCTCCTTCTGTCTGTCAACCACCCAATGTCATTTGCAGGAGTTTGGCGGCTGCATCATCGAAGAGAATTCACTACCCAGTGAAACCACTACAGCTATTTTAAGTAATATTATTTTCCATTTATTTTCAATTTAAAAATATCAATACAAATTTGAATTAATTGAACCTACTAAGGGTCCGTATCTATTTAAAATCAAACATTAAAAGCTAAAAATCGTCCAATACATAGTTTTTTAAGTAAAATGTAATACATTTATTTATTGGCTTTAAACTGCAAAATTAGGTTTAAATAATAACAAATTTACTTGAAACTGTTTTTTTATAACCGTTACCGACCGGAACTCATACTTTTAAAATCAATCCAACAAATCAGTACAAATGTTTTGAAAACAATCAGCAAGTTTATCCCAAAATGATCAATTGTTCTTACAGGTATTAGTAGCGGTTCCAAAATTTATTTTTGCATAGTTTTATAAATCAATACTCAATCGTGTTTCAGCTCACAGTTGTTATTATAATTTAGCTTTTTTATCTGAAACCTTATCTCTAATGTCCAAGCTAGCCAATTTTGTAGCCTGTAGTTGGCAGCACCGACTACCCCACGTCCAGGACCTTGGCAATGAGGCACTCCTAGCCAAGGATCCGAACACGAAACCGAACCAGAGCCAAGGACCCGACAGCGGATGCGGAAATGCGCATGCCTGCGTGTCCTTGCCCTTGGTCCTTGGTCGTTGCCGGGCGGAGCAGTTGTAAGACCCGTAGTGCCCCTGAAAACTCTTTTAACCTTCGTGCAGCCGTGTGGCAAGTGCAACGTTGCAGCTGCCAAACATGCGCTTTTGCACCTCGGCTCTTTGCAGAAAAATAACAGAGAGAGAGGCAGAGAAATGTTGCTGAATTTAGGTTGGGTCGGAGGTGGCATCGGCATCCCCTCCCAAGGATCAAAGGGTGGTGTTGTCTGGATGCCCCTGCCACGTGTCGCCAGTTGCAAATTTCACGACGCTGTCATTGACCATGATATTTGGCCACTATCACATTGTGACTGCCAGGGCCGGCGTCTCAATGCGATGCCCTCGTTGCATTTGGAGGTCCTCAATGGGGGAAATTCGGCTCCAGAACGCGGCATGAAATCCGATTTGGCAAAGGGCAGCGGTAAGGTTTTGCAAGGCTAAAATAAATTATTTCATACTAAACTTAAGAGATCCTTAAAATCAAAACAGAAATCTAGTGAAGAAAATTATTAGAAACTTGGCCGCGTTATTTCAACTTATGGTTTATATCCTTTTAATAAAAACAAGAAAGGAAAGCTAACTTCGGGCGGAGCCGAAGTTGATATACCCTTGCAGAATACTCTGTAAATTATATTCTCCAAAATTATTCATATAATGCATTCTTAATACTCATAAAAAATCCCAACTTCCTAACTTTACAAACACGAAAGTTATGGCATTTCCGATCAATCAGTTATATGGCAGCTATAGGATATAGTCGGCCGATCCTTTTGAAATTTGGTAGGTCGGACTGATTGGCCAAATATAAAACCCATAGAAAATCCCAACTTCCTAACTTTACAAACACGAAAGTTATGGCATTTCCGATCAATCAGTTATATGGCAGCTATAGGATATAGTCGCCGATCCTTATGAAATTTGGTAGGTCGGATTGATTGGCCAAATATAAAACCCATAGAAAATCTCAACTTCCTAACTTTACAAACACGAAAGTTATGGCATTTCCGATCAATCAGTTATATGGCAGCTATAGGATATAGTCGGCCGATCCTTATGAAATTTGGTGAGTCGGATTGATTGGCCAAATATAAAACCCATAGAAAATCCCAACTTCCTAACTTTACAAACACGAAAGTTATGGCATTTCCGATCAATCAGTTATATGGCAGCTATAGGATATAGTCGGCCGATCCTTATGAAATTTGGTGAGTCGGATTGATTGGCCAAATATAAAACCCATAGAAAATCTCAACTTCCTAACTTTACAAACACGAAAGTTATGGCATTTCCGATCAATCAGTTATATGGCAGCTATAGGATATAGTCGGCCGATCCCGGCCGTTCTGACTTATATACTGCGTGCAAAGGAAAGAAGGGTGTGTGCAAAGTTTCAATTCGATAGCTTTAAAACTGAGAGACTAGTTTGCGTAGAAACAGACAGACGGACAGACGGACAGACGGACAGACGGACAGACGGACAGACGGACAGACGGACATGGCTATATCAACTCAGGAGGTGATCCTGATCAAGAATATATATACTTTATAGGGTCGGAGACGTCTCCTTCACTGCGTTGCACACTTTTCACCAAAATTATAATACCCTCTGCAAGGGTATAAATATATAATACAGATTAGGATTTAAATTAATTTATTAAGGTAATTGGCAAGAACTCAGTTATCAAAAAGTACTAGAGGCTTGTACTTTTATGGTTCCATTGAAAAGTAACTTAACAAAGATAATATACACTCAATTAATATTTACGACGCAATTTCGATCAAATCTAGTATAACACGTTATAGAACAAGAATGGCAAATAAGAAAATCAAGGTTACAAGGTGTTTTTCCCTTAAAACTTCCCCCACAAAACTCGAAAGACAAAGGAAGCCAACTCCATTTGAGTGCAACCCCCGGATTTGGCTTAAATCGAAGCTCATGAAGGAAGTATCTCTGCCTCGAAGCGACCTTACCAAACAAAATGTAGCCCAGCGAGTGTCTAGGAAACCGCCTGTCCTCGTACTCCTTTTCCGCATTTTCCACCTCGTACTCCTTTCGTTACCACTTGCTTTCCACACCCCATGTGGCAGAGTCTGAAGTTTGCTTTCATTTCGTTGCCCGAGGGGTTGCAATTCCAGACAGACTGAGACCAAGAGCTATAGAAGCGGAGAAATCCACCCACTCGTCGACTTTTTGCAATTATTTTTAATTTCTGTGCTACGACAACTCCCGGAATGCCAAAAACTTTGCAACCCCAAAGAAAGCACGCAAAAAGGGGCAAGTCACTCCAGGCGGGAACCGAACCACGATATCTGCAGAACAGACCCAAAACATAGATATTCGATTCGAAAGCCCAGTACAGTAAACTTCATCGCATGTGGTTGTATAGGACAATTAAGATAGATCTTCGATTAATACTTTAAACTAAATTATTTTATAAACAGATTCTTTGTACTCTGGAATAAGCTTTAATAGAAAATTAGAAAACTATCGGTAGTTTCGATTGTTCTGTATCGCAAAGCCAAATAAATTATTATTCAAATAATAAAATAAAATAATACTAGGCCTAAGAACTACAATCGAACCTCACTAAATACATTTTTACCAACTTTTAGTTTTATAAATGTTTGTTTAACAATAAGATCAGCTAAGGGCTTAACAATTAAGTCTAAATTTTTGCTTTTAAAAGATGGCTTGGACTTGTTTAAGGTTAATACATTAACCCTTTTCCAGCTAAGGCTGATGCGTTTTTGGGTTACTTATTATAATGCAAAGGCGAAATGATAAGGTCGTACTTAACGGTAAAAAAGCATTGTTAGATTATTGTAACTGAACTCAAAGTCTTCTTTTAAAAAATAAAAAAATGCAATTTCTTTTTTATGGAGCACCCACTGTAGCGGCGTCTATGTCCGCGTCTGAGTTCCATGTGCCACGTCCATTGCACCCCCAATCTGCTTTGTACATTGACTTCTCTGCTCCGCTTTGTTTTCTGCATTCGCTGCAAGTTCTTCCGTGCTCTCGCTCTCTTTCGGGCAAGCACTCTCTTACTGGGCTCTCCTTGCCCACTGTACTGTGCATTCCCATACCACGACCTACCTTACCCACACCCACAGTGCGCTGCTGCTGCACAACTCCCGCCCGGACGGCGCAGTCGGCGTCGACGTCAACGGCGGCAGCGCAGCTCGTTTTCATATTGAAAGTAGAATTTTTCACTTTTGCGAAAATTTGCAGTTCTGTCGCGGTCTCAGACTCAGTCTCAGTCATTTTGAATACGTCATGTGGAACGCACCGTCGCGTTCCGTCCTCTGTCGCGCTCTTCCTCTTCTGCGCAATCGTCTTACCAATCGGCGGTTAACTTTCGTTTGTTAACACTACAATTCGATCGGGCCAACGTGCAATCCCCTGGATGCGGATGCGAAAAGTATCTGCGGGATGCATATGTATTAAGTGGACTCTTTGTACGTGGAAATTGTTTGGATTAAGTGCAGTGTTGTGAGAGCTTTGTGTGCCAATTTAAGGAAAAATAAATATGACAGCGAGGAGAGATCAAGGATAGACCTTGTAAACATTTGCAAAAAAGTGCAAACAATTGTTTACAATTATAAAAGGATAAATTATAAAATTATAAATTACATGCCGAATGATTTTTTCAAAACAATCTAAACAATCTGCGCATTATAACAAACTGGAACCAAAATTAAAAACTTATAAGGCCACAAAACATTATGATCTAGCGTAAATATATTAGGTAGTTTTGTGAAAAATTGTAGATCCTTGGCCATAACAAATACAGATTAATACTAAGAGAAGTTTTGGGAAAAATAAATTGGAATTTTGTGATAATAAACAAATAAACAAATTTAATACGAATCAAAATCGGAAAGCTTAGTGATAAATTCAAATAAAAGATTGAAATTAAAAAAAAATTGGATTAAATCACAATGCTAAAATTAAGCCTAAAAAAGTATACATTTTATCCATGATTTAGAGACAGTGACATATGTATAAAATGAGGCATTAAAGAACCAAAGTGCAAGTGAAATAAACAAATTAGAAAATAAAGTGCTAAAAATTTAGAAATGACAAAAAAAGTGTCAGAAAATGGTTAAACAACATTAAGTGCAAGGATACAAGTTTAACGAAGTCAAACCTTGTTTAAAAAGTGTTTAAAAGACCAATGTATTTAAAGATAAAAAAAAGTGTAAGATTGAACCAGTTTATACGGAAATACCAAAAGATATGTGGTTTTCAAAGAGTTATTTTCAAGAATCCCTGATAAAAAGACAGCCCTCTTGACCTTTCACTCTCGGAATCTGCGTGCAACTAAGCCCTCAATTAGATGATTAAGTCTATTGACTACTTAAATACCAATCGAACCCAAAAGTACTTATCCTTCTGGCTGAATAATCTCCTTTTTGGGCCCCAGTCCACGACTGTCTGACTCATTCCACTTGCCCGAAACTCCGTCTGGAGTTGCAACCCTCATTAGAGGCGTGCCACACCCCCTGCAAATAGTGCCCAGCACCACCCACCGCCCAACGCCCCCTGCAACTCCGCAGAAATGCAGAAACCCCAAAAAAAGGAGGGGGAAATATACAGGGCGATAACAGTGCGCTGCTTGCTCAACTGTAGACGCTCTGTTAGCCTTGCCATGGTGTGGGTGAACTTGAACACACACATGCTAATGTTATATTTCTCTCAGTGCTCTCGCTCTCTTTTTATTTGCACTGCTCTCTCGCTCGATTTATTCTATTTCAAGTTCTTATTTTGCAATGCAAGTGTGTGCGATGTCGTTCAGTGTTAAGGTCAATACATTGCCGCCTTTGCATACATGTGTGTTTTTTTTGCCCCCTATGTGTGTGTTTGCACTTGGAGAAACATTAAATAAGTGTTATATTTTCAAAAAATGAATTTTCTAACGATAAAAACTAACTTTCTTTCAAATATTTGAATCATTGAAAAATTGAATAACGAGGAATAATATAATAGTTTGCCATCTTATAAAATAAGAAAAATCAGAAGTAACACCATTTTATCACTCATACGTACTGTTGCCTTTGAATTATTATTATTTTTTGTTTTTGCCTTTGATTATTTTGTGGCTTTTCCTTATTTCAAGTTGAAATTTCTTATATATTTATGAAACTTGGAATGCAAAAGAAGTACCCATAGGAAATCTTTTAATTGTATGTTAACATTTTATTCTTTTGATATATGCAAAACATCAATTTAAATATGTTAATCCATATTTCCCTCTGTGGATTTCCACATGGTTGCAGCTCGTGAGGTTGCGTTTTTGTTTGTTGATTAGTCTGCTATTGAATGTTGCCATGCACACGCGGGTGCACACATTCGCACACTGAATGTCATCGCCTTTGCTCGATTTGTAAATAGCGGTTTATTTGGTGCCTAGCTTTTGTATATATTTTTTTGGAGGTCTCCCCCACTGACGTTTGCGGAAGCTTCCGCTATGTGGCCGCCATCGAATCGTCGAGGAATTGTGGGGCATGATGCATCATCATCTCATGGGGCATCAAAAAATGTGCATTTCTTTTGACAATGTCACATGATTGCTCTGGTTTTGCTTTTAATGGACAGGTGAAAGTAAGCGAAATTGATTTGTTATGGAATTTGTTAACGGGATTAAGAATGCTATTTAAAATGTCTCAGTTACAAGTATGGATGACTTTGATATTATTGTACTTGGAATTATAATACTAGGGGTTAGCTTGAAAATGCTGCTTCTCATAAGTTTGAAAATTTTCCTTAGTTACATTTTGGATAATTTTTATTTTGCACTAACCCATGCTTAATAACTTTAACCTAATTGGAATGTGTTTCCCAAGCAATTCAATATAAAAGGCTCTAAAAATTGTTAATATTTTTTAAGTTTTCTTACTTTGTATAGCTTTAGCAGATTTTTGCTTTTGCCACTCCAGCTCCATTTATCAATTACAGCCAGACCCTGAACCTACCTCAATGCGTAACCCTGCCCTAACCCAGAGAAAATAACCCAAAATAGCCCAAACCAACTGAAAAACGCAACCCCATGGAAAACTCTCCGCACGCATATTACTCATACGCACCCGAAACACGGAAGTTGAGGGCCGACAAGCGAAACCCCAAATAAAGCGCCAGCAACCCCCGAAAAAGCAGCAACCCTTATGCCACAAAAAACTCCAAAAAACTCCCCCTCGAACTGCCCCAGTCCAGACTTTGTTAACCCCCCCATGCGAAAACAAAAAAGCTATGCGTTATTCGCTTTTCCCTGGCTCATTCGCATTTATTTTTGTTTATTTATGTTTTGCTTGTATTCTTCGCCTCAGCTTCCTCGTACGCAGTCGCTCTCTCTCTCTCTCTCCGGATCTCTCTCGGGATCTATCTCTCGATTCCATTCCATTCTGACCACCTTTGCAGCCTGATTCTCCGCCTGTTTTTCCTCTCATTTTTCATATGGTTTTCACTTTCATTGTGCAGCTTTGTACGCGAGAGCCGACTCACAATTTGTTCCGCTCTTTTCTGGTTCTGTTCTGTTCTGGCTTTCTGAGCTTTTGCAGTTTCAGTCAGAGAAAGTACGGCCAACGCAACGGTTGCGTTGCGAATATATATATCCCAAACCAGCCGCGATTTTAGCAAATAAACAAAACCCAACCAGCCGAGCAAGAGAGTGAATGAATTTGTAACAAATTTTCACAATAGAAGAAAATAATTAAGGGAAAGCAAGTGTAAATAAAAATAAGGGGAAATGTGCAATAATTATGGGATCACAACAAGGTCCCTTATATAAGCGAGAGCCCATTGTCAAGGGCGCCAAGTGTTGGCCACATTGAGCCGTATTCGTGGCCGTGGCCGTAACCGTGTCCGTGTATCGCTTTCGTATCGTATCGTATCGTGAGCGTCCTTGTCCTTGTGCAGGCCGAACAGCTGCTTGGGTCCTCTTTCCCCGACCGCCCATTCGTCCTTGTTCTTGAACCGTACGTATACCATCCTCCAAAAATATCTGCTGCTCCTGCTGCTGTCACTACTCCGCCCTGAAAACCGACCTTCCCGGGCGCCCAGGCCCAGCTGTTGCTACCGACCACCCACTCGAATTCGACCCTCAGCTGTTGGCCATATACGATATAAACGGGAAAAGAAAAAAAATGGTAGAAAATCGTAGCTATCGCTAAAACAGCTGTGGAATTCCGGCGTAACAATTATATTCGTCATCTCGTCGCAATGTGCTTCAATAAATTGTTCCTAATAAACAAATTCGCCCAGCGTTTGCCAGGCACAAAGGTCAAAAGTCAGCAGAGACAAGTGTAAGAGCCTTAAACGACAAGAAAAAAAAACAAACAAAACAAGGAAATCAAATTAAAATCAAAGTGAAAACTCCCATTAAAAGAGCTTAATGCAGTTTAATTAATAAAGGTGGCACTTTAAAATCTATCAAAGCTCACACAACGCTCGCCAGCGAAAAAAAAAAATTACCTAAAAAAACCAATTCATCTATATTTTTCTAGAGGTGTTTAAAAATAAAGTAACCAAACTACTCCACGGAAGTATAAAGTCGCGAATCTAAATAAAAAAAACAAAGTGAACAAAAATTACTGCTCAGGTTTAAAAGTTTATAACAAAGAAAATAAAAGCAACTTAAGCGTTGTGTTTCATGTGCAAAATCTTAAGAAATATCTATACAAATAAACTCATATATTTTTGGAATATAATTAATAATAAATCTTGTGAATCGTGTAACTTGTATAAAATATAAAATAGAATAGGCAGTGAATATATAACTATAAAATCAATTTGTAAACATACAAATAAAAGATTAAACCTTATACACACCTAAATACGATCATAAAATATATATTCTTATACATATTATTCAACGATTTTAATCAATCAATACATCAATCAATTTAACAATCAATCGAGCGATATACTTCAATTTGCAAAAAAAGTAAGTAATACAATTTTTGCATTAAATCATGGGTTTATGGGTTTAAAAACTGTATTTTGGGTCTGAAATATTAATTATCATTCTGCTTGTTACTATATTCTGCTTGTTACTATAAAAATAAAATAGTTATAAAATGCTTTTACCTTCGCAGCTACTTCAAAGAAATACCTACAACATACTCAGACGCTGCTGTGGATCGGGCGAAGCATAAATCAGCAAACAATAAACCATCAAGTATTATTAGCAACTAAAACGAACTCAGACTCGGAATCAGCCTCAGAACTCTCAGCACGAGATCATCAAACTTAACTCAACGCAACTCAGTCGAACTCATCTCATCGTCAACGGAAGTAGCCTCAACCAGAATACAACAGATAAAAGTATATATTTAGACATATATGGTAATGATCAAGCAACTGTGGGCAGGTATAGGAACAACGCTAAGCTAAACGTAAGGACTAAGGACAACAACAAATTCTCTAGGATACAATAGAATACAAGAAAACACAAGAAAAAACAAAAAAACAGAAGAAAAGGACAACTTTTTCATGCAACTTTGAAGGCTGACAAAACTAATTTTTTGATAATCCAAAAACAGAAGCGAACAAACAAATTACAAATTACAAATTACCACAAACAAAAACAGCAACAACAAAAAGCGTAAAGAAGAAGAGACTGATTTTATAAATAAAGGAGCAAGCAGCGGAAAGGACAAAAAGCAGCAAAAGTGAGGCAAAAGTGATTAAGGATCAAATCCAAAAAAATAAAAAAAACAAACAAGCAACAAAAGCAACTTTCCATAAAACATATTTATATTATATCTAAGACAGATTGATATTTTTGTGCGATTATCCCTATTTTGATATATCATGTTGAAGAAACTCAAGTGCATGGAGGCGGTCCAGGCAGCAGCGGCTGCAGCATCCGGATCCGGAAGTGCCACCACTTCCGCATCGAAGCTGATCAAGACCGAACCCATTGACTTTGAGATGCTGCATCTGGAGGAGAGCGAGAGGCAGCGCGACTTGGAGCGGGAGCGGGAAAGGGAGCCCAGCAGCAGCAACAGCAACAGCAACAACAGCTTGACCCCCCAGCGATACACCCACGTGCAGGTGCAGACCGTGCCACCCCGCCAGCCTACGGGTCTGACCACGCCCGGTGGCACCCAGAAGGTCATCCTGACCCCGCGCGTGGAGTATGTGCAGCAGCGAGCCACCAGTTCCACGAGTGGCGGGATCAAGCACATATACAGCCAGCAACAGGTGGGTGGTGGTGCGTCGCGATCTGCACCACCGGAGGCCACGGCTCTGCTGACCACCTCCTCGGGCACTCCGCAGATCATCATCACCCGAACCCTACCCTCCAATCAGCACTTGTCGCGTCGCCATTCGGCCAGTCCCTCGGCCCTGCACCACTACCAGCAGCAACAGCAACAGCAGCAACCACAGCGGCAACAGCAATCGCCACCACCGTTGCACCACCAACAGCAGCAACATGTCCGTGTGATCCGCGATGGCCGCCTGTACGATGAAACCACTGTGGTGGTGGCTACCCGTCGGCATTCGGTGTCGCCACCACCACTGCACCATCACTCCCGATCGGCGCCTGTATCGCCGGTGATTGCTAGGCGTGGTGGTGCTGCTGCCTATATGGATCAGCAGTATCAGCAAAGGCAGACGCCACCGCTGGCACCACCGCCGCCGCCTCCTCCACCCCCGCCTCCACCACCACCACCACAACAGCAACAACAACAGCAGCAGCAACAATACATCTCCAGTGGTGTTGCACCACCCACGGCAGCGGCTCGCAAGTTTGTGGTTAGCACCAGCACGCGACACGTGAACGTGATTGCGGCCAATCATTTCCAGCAGCAACATCAGGCGCAGCAGCAACATCAGTCGCATCAGCAACATCAGCAGCATGTGATTGCTAGCGTTAGTTCTAGTAGCAGCTCTAGTGGCTCTTCTTCTTCGCACATATTTCGCACGCCCGTGGTATCAAGCAGCAGCAGCAACAGCAGCGGCAACAGCAACATGGCGCACAGCAGCAACATGCTTCACCAGCAGCAACAGCAACAGCAGCAATCGAACCTGGGCAACTCGGTGATGCGGCCACCACCGCCGCCGCCTCCGCCCAAGGTCAAACACGCCTCCAGCTCCAACAACAACAACTTGAGCAGCAGCAGCAGCAGCAACAACAACAGCAACGGCGAGGAGCCGTCTAGCTCGATTCCTGATCTAGGTAAGTGCCTGCCCCAAGACAAGCCACTCGAACTGTTAAACCAGCCACCCGTTGACCCTGACGGCACTTGTCGATCGCTTTATGGTCGGACAAGCAGTTGGCAGGTTCCTACAATACAAAAATACATAGGGGCACTGGACTACACAGCAATAGTTGATTTTTAAGATTGCCAAAAGATTGCAATTAGAGACAATACAAAAGAAAATTATAAATTAAGGGTATTAAGCACTTGCCGTTTAAATATATACATTGCCAAAGTAATTGGAAATTTATAATTGGACCCAATTTAAATATTTCTAAATATCTAATCATTATTAATCTTATTTCCATTATTATAAGGCATTCTTTAAGGATACTTACCCAAACTTCCAAAGCCAAATGTTTTTAATATCTAATGACAAACCTCAGAATATAATTTATTTGTTGACTTCACATCATATTAATTTGGTTTTACCAATTGACAGCAAAATACATTTTTTTGAAGTTCCAACTAATACTTAACAAATTTCTCAAACCCAAATGTAGTTAAAATCTAATGGGGAATCTCTGAATCTAATTAACCATTGTTGTCACATATTACAATATTTTTCACCCTGAGAACTTAGTTTTAATGCTTAAAAAAGTGAATCTCCCCTTAAAATCTGCTGATAAGTGTAAAACTTGGCATGTAGGAAATCAAAATATATTCACTTGTGAGTCAGCGGTTAATAGAGCTGTTTGTACAGTTAGTCGTTGCACATGAGACACTTATTCATATATATCTATGGAATAAATAGAAATAACGGTAATGCTGCTACCACCAAAAGGTCAAACTAAATATGAGTAATTTTACTTTCTACACCAGCGCTGCAAAAAAAATCTAGAATAGAATAATGACTGAAGCACGTTTTGAAAGTGGAATGCAATTGGGGATTGGGTCAATGGGTTTTAAACTTTTAAAAGGTTTATAATGTATGAAAATGTTAGACAAGGTGTGTATTTAATGGATGACATATGGGAGTAGTCTGATATAAGATTTGTGTGTTGAATTGAAATTATTTCGGATAAAAAGTGTTTATGGCTCTGGATAAACATTTCATCCGAAATAATTTCAATTCATCATTGCATTACCTCATAATTTAGGATTGTTTTTTGGGAATGATACATAAACTCACTTATATATTCATACATATACAGTCCAATAAAATCAACTGCTGCACCTCAAATCAGAATTTTTGTTTTAATTTAATTATCAATTTAAATTGAAATTGTTTTCGGGGGTTGGTCAACAATCTCCCCCCTCCCATTTCCAATTCTCGACACACTTTCAGCATTGCCAAGGCTGCGAGATATATGTTATATATTCCTATATATATTTGTGTTAATTTTTTGTGTGTATTCAACAATTGCTTCTCTCGTTCTTTCACCTTGAACTTCAACTGGAATAAACTTGCCGCTCTGTCTGCTTTTCTGCTTTCCTCTGACGTGGTGTCTGACTTTTGTTGGTTTCGTATCCAAATTGGAATTAAATCTATATGGAAGAAATTGCGTATAAATAAAAAATATATACAAAATTTGCATTGTTTGCCCACAACTGATTTTAAATTGTGCTATTTCTTATTTATAGTTGCATTTGCATTGCTGATTATTCTTTTCCGCTTCCGTTTTTTTCTGATCCAAATTTATTTTAAGGTTCAAAATAAAGCCAATTTAACATAAATGTAATTGCATTTAATTTTTATTGGAAGGAAGATCAATTGAAACAAAACCTATCTTTTTTTCGTAAGAAATTTATAATTGTTAAAAATAATCTATTATGCAATCGTTTTATTTGATGTATCACCTCTTACGTTTAAAGTCCATTTATATGCAAAATAACCATTACTAATTACTGTTATTGTCACCTAATAATAAATAATTACTTTTTTTTGCTTCTAACTTCCACACTCTGTTGGAATTTTCTTATAACATTATTCGTTTTTTGATATTTATGAGAATTCTGTTGCGATTGTTTCCATAAATTATTCACTTTCAATTTTGTTTTGTGCTTGGCTTCCCTCAAAGTTTTAATTAATCACAATTTTGTTTATTTTTCCCCTTAAACGATCAAGCGTAGTGCGTTGATTATGTGACCAGCATTTTTTTTAATACAGGTTAAATAATATGTTTGGATCGGGATTTCCAGCTAAGCGGGGAACCTGTTCCACGAATGCGAAAGAGATACGGATGAAAGTGACAGTTGAGAATGATTTTTGGGGCTGAGAACTCTTGGTATTCTAATGATTTCATTTGGCTGAGTTGTGTGTTTTTTTTTCGATTTGATTTTTTTATTTATTTTTTTTTTTTTTTGCACATGTCTCAAGATACGCTTAGTTATACAATATATATGTACGAGCGTGTGTGCTTATATGGAGAGTCGGGCGAGCTGAATTCTTGGACTACGGCTTGTTGTTCTTGCCGTTCTCCTTTGTTGCTTGGCTAATAAATAAACGAGTCTGCGAGTTGAGCAAATAAAAGTCAAGGCCAACGGGGCCGACTCGATAGATTTATTTGCCTTTTTCCACGCCAAGCAATCGGTTGTGAAAGTGATTGCAGATATGTTCCCGATTCACTACCTGTTTTTGATTTTTCTCTGTTGTCCCCCGTGTCGGATATGCTCGATTGTAGAGCACCAGCGTTTTCAATGTCAATGCCAAACCCAATTCGAGACCTTAAGCTCCTCGCATCACACATATCAGCAATGGGTCAACACTGAGTGCTTGTGTGTGTATGTAGAGCACTCATAAACGTCCATATTCCCCATGAAATGTATTTTTACTCCATTGTTATCATTTTGCGCAAGTGACAGGCCGCAATTGCCGCACATGAGCACACAAGGAATAACGAAAGAAAACACAGCAGTAAAATACATGAGAAAATGGTTTTAAAATTATACAAATTTTATGTTTAATTAACTACAATATTTGTTTTCCATTTTAATGGTATAAAATAATATCAATGGCGTAATTAAATCATTGTATAATATTTTCCTATTTAAAATAAGATATATTTTCATTTTTACTTTATCTCTTTAAAAGTTGTAAACAATTTTTGTAGAATATTTTGCCCATCTGTAATAACTTTTATATAATTTAAATATATATATTTAACATATAGACATACTATTATCGTTTTAAATATATTTTTTATAAATTAAAGTATAAGTATTTTTAAATAATGCTTGGCGCAAATATCTCAATTTTCCAGCTCGAACAATTTCCGATCATCCTCCCTGAGATAGAGATTACAAAACAAATAACCTAAGCTTCGTTGAGGGCGATTATGAATTGTTTACTTATTTAAATTTGTTACCCCAACCAGTTCACTTCGACAAGCTTGTCTTGGTAGTGAGATATATTTCTCATTCGTACGAGTTAGCCAACTGTTGTGCAAACGGTTCTATTAACTTGTATATAGTGTTATGCAAACACTTATTTAAAACGCCAATCTCAACATTGCGATAAATTATCTACCGACACCAAGCTCTATACCAACTTTTGGAAAATATACTTTGTTTAAGGAAACTATTTTCATTTTAAAAACCAACAATAAAATGTGCTACAAAAAATTCGTTTCATTTCCATTACTAAATTTACTTAAGTAAAAGTATACATTTTAAACCAAAATCTAATATGTATAATCCAATTTTATTCTATTTGCTTTTATATACTTTTAATTGAACCGATTAAAATGGCTGAATCACGCTCAAAGTCTCGTAAATATATTTTAGCGGCTATAATTTGATTAGCTGATGAAATGTTTGCCATATACTGAGGCAAACGCATTTGCCTTATTGCGTTCTGGCCAACTTTCAATTGAGTCATTAGCAGCGTTTTGACTTTTTTTTCCGGATTGCCTGGCCTAGTCCCAGGCATCCGACGACCTTGCCAGTGAAAATGCTTACATAACCCATAGCAAAACTAAATGCTGATTTTTGCGCACAACCAGCACTTACATTATTCAATAGAATAAAAGGTAAACGCGTAAATTGTTAAGGATTTTGTTGTACTATGTGCAATTGAATAAATAAATAGATTATGGCCTATAAAAACCGATCAACGATCGACGGAGAGAGTCGAGAGAGTAAGAGAATGGTAAGAGTGGGCGGGTTTTGGGGGAGGGAATGGGTTGGGGGTTTTTCGACCTTGACGTTATACAAACTATTAATAAATATACGTACTTGTTGCTAATTTCCCTTCTATACCGAGTCTATAATGTGCAAATGTTTTATAACCGAACTGAATATTGATTAAAATTACAATACACAGTTATTAGACAATGTATCAATGTGTGAAGATCAAAGTGTGGCAGTAGAATCTTGAAAAGATTTAAGATTTAAGTGTATGAATAAGTTTTCATTCCGCTTAGTGTTAACCCAGATTTTACTTTGGGTTATTGTTTGATAGATTCATTTATTTTGATTTTGAAAAAGACATTTAAAAGTAAATTAAAATAATAAAAAAATAATTTTAAAATTTTATTTAAATAATATTTTTAGTACATTTTTGTATTTATTAGAAATCTTATTATTATCTAGAATTCCTATAAAGTATATATTTATTTAATTTCTCAATGATTTCTTAAACTAAACTTTGGTTTAAAATACTGTATTTAAAATACTATATTTAATCTAAAGAATGAGGAGTAGGCTAAATGTGGTGTAATACTCTAGAGGTCCCTTTCCAAATGAAATTCCTTAAGTCCAACTCGACGGCCCTGAATTACGTTCAATGGTTTTAGCATAATTACCCAACAGTTGATTGATTTATAACTGTTGTATTAACTGAACTATGTTTAATTTAACTACAATCCCCCAACCTATTTTCACTATAATTCAATTCTAAATCGAATAAACAGTGACACAAAGTCACGCCAAGTCCAGTCTGGTTATGACAATTTCTCTGTTACTTAACCGAATACAGATAAACGGGCTACGACAATAATAAAAAAAAACAGTTAACAAAAGTATCTAGCGGATAAAAATGCGACACGAAGCAAAACCAAACCTGTTCTAGTAGCAACAAAAAATCGAAACAAAACAAAATCAGCAAAAAGCAAAGGCAAATAAAATAAAAATAATATACAATGTGCAATTGTATAAAAATGCGAATTACAAGTGGGCGAGCGCAATAAAAATGTTAGAAAAAAACACAAGGTCATTAGAAGCGGAAGAGAAAAACAAAAGGCAAAAAGCAATAGAAACAAAAGCAAAGCAAAAGCACAAACAAAAAATGTGACACACTGAAAGCGAGAATACAATAATTATACAAACAGATGTATGGGTGTTTAAGTAGGAGGGGGGTGGAAGGCGGAGGGGGAGATTGTGGGGAGAGGGGGGGTGGGGGTATTGTAGACAAGTGCAGGCGTAACGTAAATCTAGAACACTTCCTGAATGAGCGAGCGAGACGGCGTAAACAATTAGCGAAAAGTGAATTTGATTACAGTTGCAACGGGGCGTATGAGTGACGTACTTGAGCGCCGCCTGCCATTTAGCTATCTCCCTCCCACTCCCACTCGCACTCGCGCCGTCGCCCTCGCCAACACCGTTACAATCGCATTGAGACTGAGGCTGCGTAACGGTATCGCACTAGGCCAAATTACAAGGTCACACTGGTAATCCCAAACCCAAGCGATATGTCCTCCCAGCGATGTTTCCATGATTTCCAACTAATATTGCATTCCCCGATTCGAATAACGGCCATTAAAGATACTGTTATAAATATGTGTTTACATTCTACGATTTGAGTAACGACAATTAAAGATACTGTAGGAAATTTTTTTTAAAATTTATAATATGTGTAGAGGTTTCCTCCCACAGTCCACTTATATAATTTAATTTTATAAAATTAAATGTTTTTAATAAAATTAAGTGGAAATATTTTCTAAGATTATTAAGTTTATTATAGAAAATTCTTAATAGTTTCATTTCACCGTTAGTTTTAAACTATTAACTACTGGATTATCTACAACATTAAATAGAACTAGAATTCGGAAAACCTGAAAAAATGACAGAGAAACCGAATACTATCCAAAGTGAATATAACTGGTTGTTCATAACGCGACTTTCACATTGCAAAAATGTACACAATATATTGAAAATTAATTTATTATAGCATTTTAGAGTTTGAAAGTACAAAGTATTCAAATTCTCAGATCACAGCTTTTACTGCCGTAATCCATTTTTTCCTTTTGATTTTGTACACAATTTATCTTAAATTATATGTAGGCTTCATAAAACACTGTCAATTTGGTCAATTCTCTTCCAATTACATTTTGGGCCAGGTTTCTCTTACATATCTGCATAATTTCACTGCGCAGACACAATGTACAACTAAATGGAGAAAATTGAGTTTTCAAGAGTTACTTTATTTCCAATACAAAAGAGTTGTTTTCAAAACATCACTGTTTTTTTTCAACTCACCTGTCGTTAAGATAAAATGCCAGGTATATATTGGAAAGAAATAGCTTAGGACTTTTCCATATATAAAAAGCATCTTTGAGTTCTGCATTAGGGTAAATACAAATATTATTAAAATGCTTGTATAAACATAACTTACTATTCTCATTCCCAGCAGCATAGAAATCCCTGCCAAAATATACAGTATGGAAAAAAACATTATAAAAGAGACATCAACCCACGCAAACAACAGCACTTTATCATATTCTGGGGAATTAATTGAAGTATTTGTATAACTGGCTAAGCTCATTAACATTTTCATATAATTGGACATATCAATTATAAAATACATCGCGTAACCAACACCGCAGGTACCAATTAGCATGCACCATATTGAGTAGTACTTCGACCAGCTGGATGCTGTAATTTTTTCACAAGACCGACACATTCGCCAAAATTTTTAAATATATTTTTTAAGAAAATTGTATTAATATGTATTATTAAAAAATCATGGTGAACTATGATCTAGCAATTTCTTTTAAGAAGCAGAATCTCAGGTAATGGCATCTATTTAATAATCTCACTTTATAATAATATCTCAACCGCTTTTTACATATTTATTTTACTTTAAATTATATATCCTTTTATTGTATATATAAGAGTATAATTTTTTAAGGCGAAATACTAATAAGTTTAGGTCTTCCATTATTTAAAATTCTTTGAGTTGATATACCTTTATATTATACATACATATATACATAAAATTATATTTCTTTGGTTGATATACCAAAAAATATTTCAAATCGCTCTTAAACAGTTAACTATTTTCCACTCTACTGCTGGCCCTGCTCTTGAAATGTAACTCTGGCATTATTATATCTGTTGTGATATATTTTTACATAGACACGTGCCGATCTGATAGCGATGATTTCAAAAGTCTGAGTCAGTTGGAGGAAAGCTTTGAATTTCTTTTAACTGGCACCGAACTGAATCATCTTGGCTTAGCTTAGATGACGATTTGATGGAAAGCCCTATGAGCACGAAAATTCTCAGACATAAATATAAATTCGAGTATTCTTTCAAGGTAACATCAATGTGAAGGTCGTATTCGTTTGAGTTTCTTGGAAATATATTTTTAGCGTGAATCATTTTTTGTAAAGAAAATAATTAACCAAAGTCCGATACAAAGAACGAAACTATTTTAGTCAAAACCTTTTAGTCTTTTTAAATATTAAAAGACTTATTAAAAGTAAGCGCAGCAATGGGATCATACCGAGCTTGTTTAATTAATTTGTGAGCTTAATGGGAACTTTTAATTCCTCTTGAGTCATATTCGGATACAATGACTTTCCATCTCCAATGTTTATGTAAATATCAACACCAGACAGTCAAAAAACCCCTCTGAATCCCATGAGCCACTCCGTGGTTGCCCTAAATTGCACATTTAGGTCATGAACCGGAAACGTCTTAATTACATGAAATAAGTGAAGCTCAAAGTCAATTTAAATGCACCACAAAAGTGAAAAATGCAGAATGAGTAAGAAAATCAAAAGTGCAAAAAAAAGGAGGAAAAAGAGGCGCAGACAGCAGAGAATTGCATACATAAAAAACTCGAATCAAGTTAAATAATTAAGCTGGCCAGCAAAGCAGAACAACAGGAAGGGAAAAAAGAGACAGAAAAGCGGGAGTGAAAGAGAGAGGGAATCGGCTAACAAAGGGCCTGGCTGGACTCCTCAAAAATAACTAAAAAACAAATCGGAATGAAATCCCTGCAGACAAACGCAGACAACAGTCGCCCAAAAATGTAGCTTACCAATTTTAGTTGGAAATTTTCGACCAAAATGCTGAATTTATTCATTTCTTTATAAATAAATCATTTTTATAAAAAAAAAACCTTTTTTGTTCTTTAACTTGTAAATATAAATGTGTTATCCAAATATTCACCTTCTAACCCAACTGATAACAAACCTTTTAAAGAGAATAAACCAATCGAAAACTATGAAAATGGATAATATGTTAAAAATTACATACACTATACCATTTAATAAATAACTAAAAAATGATATTTAAATACAACATAAAGATTTACCATTCTGTGTGCAGTTCCGCACAATAAAATCCAAATAAAAAGAGAAATACTACTGTCAACTAACTTTTTTTAGGAAATATCAAATATTGAGCAGTATTTAATCAATGTAAGCTTCTATATACATATCTTAAAATCTGACAAATATATGATTTAAACATGAATACAAAATCGCTTTCAAGTTGAAGCAAGCTAAATATGATGATATGATATCGATATCCTTTGTCAAAAAGTTAGCAAATACCTCAAAATTAAATCTTTTTTATATTCTTAAGGTACATTTTATGGTTTAATATCCCACAAAAACCTAAAAAAAAATGATCTGCTACTTTCGAATCAGCACTGTATTAAGAATAAGTATCTCAAAAACAAGAACAGAGGCAGGGACGATACATCGAAGACCTTGAACTTTGGTAACAACAAAAGCATGCAGAGCAGTTCAAGCGGCGAAGAAATGAGCCTGGAAAAAATCAAAACCGAGAGGAAGAAGTGGCAACAGTACCAGCATTAAATCAACCAGACCAAAGGTCCAATGTAGGGCAGACAGAGAAGGACGGCAACAACAGTGGAAAGAGATGGGAATAGGGAGCGAGTACGTCTGGTTATTAGCAGGATCGGCGAATAATAAAACTGGTTGCAGAGGGAGCTCATAAAGAACCTCCTTCCCAGTTTGTCAGGCAAGTGCCATTGACCTACAAGCAAAAGTCGTTGGCTTCTTGTGGATCGCTAAGAACGCAGCCCAGAGAGAGAGAAAGAGAGGGGAATAGGGGTGCGGAAAGAGACGGCAAGAGAGTCAGGAAGGGGAAAAGAGGTAGTGCACAGAGAAAACTAATAGTTTTGGAAATCGATATAAAAGGTCAGTTTGCATTGATTATAAATTTAACTTGAGCAATACCTTAAATATATATTATTGGGGTTTAAAGTAAAAACCTAGCTTTATGGATTAACATTAAACTTAGCCAAAACTTAAACTGAACTACCATATCGCAGGGAGCTAATGATCTTTTGATGTAAATAAGTTGAACTTAAGCGTATAAGAGCCACATCATTGGATGATCATGAGCAATAATATTTTACTCATTTTAGAATTCTTTTATATGTTATGTATGATCCTATAGTTAATTAAAGTTTTGATATACTTGTACTAAAATATCAAAACTACACATTAACTTTAAAACAAATTAAAACAAATTTTTTTTTTTTTCTGTGCAGAGGAACTTTGGTTTGGTAGGTGGGCTGGCCTTGATATTGTCAACGACATGACTTCACCCGAACAACAAAAACAACATCACCGACTGCAAAAAATGTAAAAATACAACAATATCAAAAGAGGGAGATGCCCCGAAGGAAAGGGAAAGAGAGGGCGATAGAGCGTCACGCTTGGGACTTGGGGGCGCTATTTATACATTTTCCTCTTGTGATCTGCTTTTTGTTTATTTGCGCGCCTAAAAACGTTCACAGATTCTGTTCATTCCCACTGATCTCCCCTTTTGCCCCAAAACTTCAACCAACTCGCTGCGATTCGAATCGCGGCTGTACTCCAATCTGCAATCTGCATTCCCGTCTATATGCTATTGCCATCCCTTTCCCTCCTTTGAGATATAGCTCAAGTGCAGTGCCCTTGACTTAGGTCAATAACACGATTTGTTGACGTTGTTCAGATACTTTAACTAGCATTTGGATTACGTTTTTGTCCGCAGCTATTAACTAGGTAAAAGGCATCATTTTGTTTATGATTTTTGCTATAATATTATTATATTATAGTTGTAATTTTAATAAATATAAAAGATAACTTCTATAAATATGTCAAGTTGTAGATATGGACAGTACAAACTAATTCCGAACTGGAAGTTTTCTCTATAAATATTTTAATTGTGGGTGCAGTTGGGGGTCAACTTTTGAAACTAACTAACTTGCTTGTTAAGTAAGTAAGTTTTTAGTTTTATTTCCCCAATTTCTCGGTCTTAATTAAACAAACAAGCTCAGAGAAGTTCGACGAAGTCTGCTAATTCTTAACAAGAATCTGTATTTCATCACAATAACTTTTGTTGACATGAATTATCTATGAACCGGACTGGTATTAAGAGCTATTTGCATATTATTGAAATGGTCAGTAAAAAAAACGAATACTCAGTGGAATTGACTGAAATTAGGTTTAGAAGCGAACTAGTATCGATTGACTTAATATGCAGGCCACTTTCGAAACCCAGAGATAACCGGTCAGCGAGGACTTTATTAACCCAAACAAATACCGAAAGTATCCGCACACGTCGCCACTCGAATGCCTCATCCTTGGACATGCCATTGCCACTTGACAGTGACCTTACAACCGCCGAACGTGGCACCACCCCGTGGTCTGCACCACTGCACCACCACCACCACCCCCAATTCGACCCCCTTTTGCCCTTCATTGGGCTGCAGCTGCATAACCTTTGCCTTGAATTTGGAGGCGATGGCGATGCGCATGAACCTGACATTGAACGTGATGGCAATGAAATTTTCTTACCCACTTCCGAGAGCGAGAGAGAAAGAGAGAGAGAGCAAGTGAGGGGGTTTTGTGGGAAAGGGAAGAAAAGTTAAAACTTAAACCAACCTAACCTCCCCCCACCCCCCATCACCCAGGTAAATGGGGGCTAACATTTTTGATGGCGTTCTACTACTTTACATTGTTGCTTTGCCGGGCACTCAGTTCGGAATAGTTAGGGGCTGGGCTATAGGGGTTATAGCGTGGGCACCCGACGTTGTAGCTGAGGTCAGGTCAGGGCCAAAGCACTTGACATTTCTCCCCCTGCCACCGAACTCATAAATATTCCAGTTCCCTAGACTTTTACCCACATATATGGGTTAGTGTGTCAGGCAAAAGTTTGATTGCCTATTTCTTATAGACAACATCGGATCGGTTGATACCGACACTACCTGATGTCATTGACCCACAAGCGGAAAGTAAACATTTATCAAATGTTTTTCAATTAGTCTGATTTGATTACAACAGGGTTTCTGGGGAATAATTCGATATTTGCTTAGTTATAAGGTGGAACAATAATATTTGTCTGTGCCTTGCATATCAGGTTGTTAATGGTAAATATGGGATATTATGTCATCTAATACACATTTGAAAATATATGTATGTATAGAAATAAGTTTATTAACTTTAATATACATATATGTTAGATGATATACGTTTAACATTAGTCTTCCTGGCCCTATTTAAATTTCCATTTCCAATTAACAGCAGTGTCCAATTACTCATTTCTTGTTAACATTTTAAATTACAACTATTTTGTATTTCACCTCCATCCATGTCATAAAATTAAACACAATTAAGAAGGGTTGAACAGACCCATTATGACTTTTCCTA